CAAATAATTTTTAAAGTAATATTAAAAAATAGAAATTGCTAAAATTAATTAATTTTTTTTAAAGATATTTTAAAATAGAAAAATACAAAAATTTTGTTAAATAAACACTTTAAGAAAATAATAAATTAAAAATTAGTTCTACAATGAATTGCAATAATAAAAGTGAAAAATTTTGATGAAAATGAAAAATTCGTGATTTCGGCGCCTATGGTGCAGAATGTGCACGAGGCACCATGGGAATATTTGTATTAGTGTAGACTCAACTAGTTTCCAAATAGCACACAGACACTGGCTGCCACGTCAACACGAACCAATCCTATGACTTCCTGGAGGCTCACTCACCTCACATTTCGTAAAATTTTTAGGGTGAATTCAATTTCTACACATGCAATGTGCAGACCTTTTCTTAAAAAAAAAAATACAAAAAAATACAAAAAAATTTACACAGGTCAAAAGACCCTTCACATAAAAATTTCAGTCAATTAATTATTTTATTGTCATTTTATACATTTTTTTTTTTTTGAAATAAATACCAAAAAAAACATGGCTAAATAGATACAATATTCATTATATTGAAATAAAAAAATTTTATATGTATTACATTAAACACTTGGTATAATGATGTTCGTAAAAATATGTCATTTTTTAATGTCTATTTAAATACCTTCTCTTTCGAAGTTCATTAAAAAGAAATTTAAAATTGTTTTTGAATTTTGACATCGTTATTTATAAATAAGATTTTGCTTCTTTTCTGATAAGTGTAGATTATCAGTTTTTTACCTTCACACATTTATTTTATGTTCGGGAAAAGAAAGAAAAATCTACTTTATTTTCTATACTGCTTTTAAAATTAATTAAATAATATAAATATTTTGCAAACTTGGGAAAATTTTTTGCAAAAATATTGCAAGCAAAATTTATTCTTGAATATTTTTGCTGTTGTTGTTGTTTAAGGAATAACAGTAAAATGGCGATTAAAATAAAATAGATAAAAAATGAAAGTTTTCATATTTAAAAAAAATTGTTTAAACACGATTTGTATTTTATACTTTAATAATTTTGAACGAATATGAAAAACTGCAAGTAAAATATTCTCAAATAGATTAAATAGTGAAGCAATATTTGTTGAACTTCAACTTAAGTAAACTTAACAATTAGACTGTTTTTCCTTTTTTTTGTTATGAAGACAAATACAAACGACCTAAAAACACTAAAAATATCTTGTGTAAATTGTACACGATGTGTGTTTCATGTCTCGATACATATAAACTTCATTTATATTGAAATTATATATACATTTATGATTTGCATTATATTGATTCCTAAAAATTCATATTATAAATAAAAGTATATAATAATCAATGTGTAATTTTCAAATAATTTAATTTTTATACAATAAAAACAAATACATTTTTGCGGTCTTAGAGGCATAATTTTTTTTTTTAAGTAAACCGCATTTGAAATTAAAATCGCTTTTTACTTAATATACTACATTGAAAAACTAAATGGCTAAAACCTAACTTAAAACCATAATGATTGAAAAGTATTCTATTCTTAAGCTTGAAACTAGATTAAATCAATTTTACGACTTAAAATCATACTATTGATTATACGAACTTTATAGTTTTTGTCAAAAAATATAATCTAAGCTAGAATATGTCATATATATGATTTACATAAAATTATTTATTTTACAAGTTACATAATTTGATAATTAAAAATGTATGTTAGTTAAAGAAGTGATTAAGTAGTGATAATAAATAATTACTAGGGGCATTGAATTCAATGAAGGGATAATGGTAATTTTTAAAGTCCCCTCACGCAACAGGAAATAGACTTTGCGCGGGGACTTTGGTAATTTACATATTTCGATTTTTATAAATATATATTTTTTTAAAATATTTATTTATAAATAAATGACATTTATTAATTAATTAATATAAAACACTAAGTTATTATATAAGTAGCTTATTGTGAAAATTTTTCGTAATGGGGTGGAAAGGACAAACACCTGCTGATAGACTGACTGCAGTTTAGTAGTTTTAAAAGAATTATCCATTATGCATTTTTAAATACATTTTCCAAGGATGAAAGACAATCATTGTATTTTAATTATTGCCTTTTATATACATTTAGAGACAAAAGTCTGTTGGGATTAACATTATATAAAATATACATTGTGCGGAAATGTTTAGTCTCGAATGGTCCGAATTCATAGTTGGTAATTTGGCATTTTCAATTTTAACCTGTGCAAATTAGGGTTCGCTAATTTCATTTTTGCAATTTAACAAATATTCTCAAAAATTGCATATACACACTTGAACCTAACTTCAGAATTTTCAAGATTTACCTTCCTCTTCTTGTTATGTTCTTCCGACAAAGAATTGAACGTAATCTTATACAAATTTAACCCCCCTTTTCCACTCTAATCTTTTCTTTTAGGTAAAAAAAGTTTTATATAACTTTCAAATTTTGAGACATCCCCTTCACCTTTGTTTCACTTTTAAACATTTTTTTCGTTTCCCTTTTTAAAAATATTGGGCACAACTTCAAAATTTTAGCACTCCTTTTAGGTAAAATTATTTTTACTATAAATTTTGAAAAAATATTTTCCATAATTTTTGGTATTTAAAATAACAAAAATTTAGTATTTCTGATCGAATTAGGTTCAAAAATAGGTGAATCAAAACGATTTTTAAAGTTCTGCAAGACATTTATAAGACTTTAAAAGTTACTTCCACATTTTTAAAAAAAATTTTCAATAATATGACTTTTTCTTTACAATTTTTGGTTTTTAAAAAACTAAGAATTTCGTAATTTCTAATTGAATTATAGGTTTAAAAATAGGTCAATCGAAGCGTTTTTTTAATTAATGCTATAGAAGTTGGTTATGTAACTTTTAAAGTTACTCTTAGATTTCTTTATCAAAATTTAAAAAGAGGCTTATTTTCCAAAATTTTAGATTTTTATAAGTTTAATATCTCCGGCTAATATGGACGAAAAATGTTCAATAAGGGCTCAAAAGATGCGTCTAAAAAATCTCTAAAATTTAAAAGATTACTTCTATATTTAAAAAAAAATTTCAAAAATAAAACTTTCTTTATACAATTTTCGGTTTTAAAATAACAATAATTTTGTATTTCTAATCAAATTTGGATCAAAAATAGGTGAATTAAAACGATTTTTAAAGTTCTACAAGCCATTTATAAGACTTTAAAAGTTACTTCCACATTTTTAAAAAAAAATTTCAAAAATATGACTTTTTCTTTACAATTTTTGGTTTCTAAGAAACTAATATAATTTCATAATTTCTAATTGAATTAGGTTCAAAAGTAGGTCAATCGAAAAGTTTTTTAATGCTTAAAAGTTGGTTATGCGACTTTTAAAGCTACACCTAGATTTCTTAACAAAATTTTTAAAAAAGTCTTATTTTCCAAAATTTTAGATTTTTATAAGTTTAATATTTCCGGTTAATATGGACAAAAAGTGTTCAATAATGGCTCAGAAGATGTGTTTAAAAACTCTACTAAATAAATTAGGGAAAAACATTTAAATAGGTTTCCTAACATTTTTCTAAAGTTATGGATAAAAAAAGTTTTTTTGCAAAATTAAAAATGCACAAAAATATAGTTCAATTTACATAATTAAATATTAATTAATAAAAGTAACAACTTAAATTGAAATTAAAAGAAAAAAATGTTATTATTCTAGCACAAATATAGTTTAACAGTAGATATGAATTCATTCAAAGACTGCGGCCCAAAAATATCAACATCGAAGGGTAGCTTATTAATATACTTATAATTAAGTTTTCAAAATAGATGATAATGATAAATTTAAACCATAATCAGTTCTATGATCAGGTACATTAAATAAATTAAGGACTCTCATTTTATGTCCGCTCGTGAGACCTACAATTTAAAAAAAATTCATCCTTAAAGCTCTTCATAATTTTGAGATATTTATGAAAATGTAATGTTTACACACACACACGGAATGACATTTTTTAAAAATGTTATTTTTGAATTCTTGTCAAATAACAAAGATATGTCAAAAAATCGAATTTGAAAAATTTTGGTATTACAATACCACAATAACGAAGGAATAAAGAAAAAAAAATGTTTTTTTTAACAATAGTGTTAAAAATATTGGTCTAATTAAAAAAACTTCTAAGAGAAAAAAATGTTGATTAAATTTAATATCTGACAGTTGCACACGAAATCTTGTTTTTTTTAACCGTCCCTGTCGCCATTTTATTCGGAAAAAAATACCAAAACAAAACATTTATTTTCCTGGATCAAAATATTTACTTTATTCAACAAAAAAAAAATGTTTTGATTCATCAAAACATTCGTTTTGTTAAATAAAGTATAACGTGCAAGAGTTTTTGTAATTTGCGCTTTTTTCCATATCCTCCTTTTTATTTAGGAAGAATTATTTTTCCGATGCTAGGTTTTAAACACACGCATCCAACGCGCAATTATTCTCGAAATATTATATACCTGCATGCGAAGCGAAACTTAAATGGCCGATGTTCGCATGTGAGAAACTCTCAAAGTTTAAGTTTAAAAGCCAAATATTTTTAAAAATTCAGTCGCACACGTAAACACGTTTCATTATATTGTCGGAAATATTGACCACTTCATTGAATATTCTATACTATAAATATTATTATTAGAACAAGAAAGTTACAATATTTAATGTTTGTTTACAAAACAAAACATTTTTTTACTAATCGAAAAAGTATCTTTTTTTTACTCACTTTTCTCTCTCTGATAAAATACATTTTTAACATGCTATTTATTTTTTTTTAGCAAGAAAAAAAATGTTTCGTTGTATTTTTATTTACCATGAAAGAAAATGTTTTGTATCTAGAATTTGGCCGCGCAGAAAAGAAAAATAAAAATGACGCGAGGGTGAATGTTTGTGAAAATTGAAAAACCCTGTGTTTCGACGCCAATGCATAGAAGCAGAAAAACTAGTCATGGTTATACCACCCCTGCGTTATCCATCGCATCAAGTTCGGCAGTTTGAACACTCTTGGCAAAAGGGAGGGGTTTCCCCTCCTCAACGACTAGACTTTAATTTCCAACTATCCACTATCTACATTTTCCTGAGATTCCATGCGCCAGTTGCTCTCCAGGCCCTAAAATTAGTGTCAGCTTTTCGCTTTTCCTCCGAGGGAAAATTCGTATTATTATTATTATTTTTTTTTGCGAATTGGACAAATTTTCATCGAAAAAGTGAATTATTTGTTTTTTTTTATTATTATTAACAAGTGAAAAACAGTGGAAGCGGTTATTTTCAAAATTTCATTTTTGCATTTTTACGAATATTTTCTATTTCCTGTTTACTGTTATTTTACCATCGCCAGCTGTCCGGATGCTATTTGGACCTTGAGATATTTTCTGGATTACTTCGAATAATTTTTCTTTTTTCCTTTTTGCAAAATTAAGTAAGTTTTTGATTTTTTTTTGATTTTTATGGGGAAAATTGAATTTTTTTTCTTCTTTCTTCATTGAGAGAGAGACTGCGGTTTACTATATATACATATATGTAATAAACAACCTGCGCGTAAAGAGAATAATTTTTATTTTATTTTTTTTTGAATTTTTACAGTAGAAATATTTTTTTTTCAATAATAGAGAAAAATTTAATGCGTATTTTCGTACGTGATAAATTGATGCTTGGATATGGCGTGAAAATGCGCATGTGGTGAAAAAATGTGAATAATAGGAGGGATCCTTTGCCTATACTTTGCCCAATGATCACGAAGTAAACACGAAGCTTATAGTTCGTTTTTTATACGTTGCCCAAGTGACGCAACTCAAGGGAAATGCTTTTTGCGACTCTTCATAATAAATACCAAAATTTAGAGAGGGGTGGGGGGGGGTACAGTATTCGCAAAAATATGAAAATTATTTTCGAAAAGAAAATATTTTTTCGATTTTTTTTTTCGAAAACAAAATTTTGCAATTTTTCCGAATTATCCGAATTTTGTTCTTTTTTAAGAGAATATTTTTTAGGAAAAAAAAAAGGGGAAGGTTTCTGAGAAATATTTGCATGCTTTCTGAATCGAGGAACGCTTCTCAAAACGCCGGCACGTGGATTGGTCGCGAGAATTAAAAATGAAAATTAACCATTAAACGTTGAAAGTAAAAGAGAGAGAGAGAGAGAGAGAGACAGCGAAACTATTCTCTCTCCTCACTCGAATGCAATTATGACTTTTTTATTATGCTCGCGTGATCAAATTCAAACAAAGAAAATAGAGAAACAAATAAAATCATTTCAAACTTAATTACCCAAAAAAAAAAAAACTATTATTGTCTTTCTTGATAAAATTACATATATAATATTCATATCTAAAATTTTTCTCCATTTTTCGTTGATGTACTTAAAAACAAGGTCACACCTCGGTTTTGAAAAACAATCTCCCTCTTCTTGTATATTGCGTAGCAGTGGCGTAAGTTTGCCATATTTGCCATACAAAAATTTGTTTGTGGAAAAATTCTCTTAGTCGCGTACTTCTAAAAAATAAGGGGGGGGGGGGTGGGGGTAATTCCTAAAAAAAATATTATAATTTCGCAAATACAATAATACAATAAAATTTTTTAATTTTCGTATAAAAGTTTCCATTTCTTAAGAATATAAAATTTATTTTTAAAATTAACGCATATAGAGATATGATAACATAATTGAAATATATAGTGAAAATTATTTACATTTTTAATTCTTTCTAAATTTCGGAGAAAATATTTGAGTAAACTTGAGTGGAAATAAATTGCGGGCTCACATTGATTAGATATTCCAGGTTATGATGTCATCAAAGATGGCGACCGCGCCTGGTGCATAAACATTGGACGTATACAAACTATACAATGTTGGTAGAACGCGCACAATGTAGAACCAATGGCATTTTAGTTTTCCAACACGCATTATATGCGTTCGTCTGCAATGCTTATGCACCACTGACGTGGCCCCTTTTTTGCAACGCCATATTGGAAATTAGAGTCCTTTTTCGAGAATATTTTCCTATTGTATTGGAGCATGAAAAAAAATATTCATAATTTTAGATAATTGTAAATTTTTCACAAATATTTATTTTTTAATACTTAATAAAATTTATAACAAGTGCTATTCACGAGGTCTCATTATTCAAAATTGTATTAATATTATTATTATTTTTATTATAAATATTATTAATGATAATTAATAATTAATTAATAATTAAAAATAATTATTATTAAAATTATTATAATCGAAATTTGTTAAAAATGGTTAAATTGAAAACCTTGACAACTGTAATAAATAAATTTAAAATTGTTGTAAAAAATTGTTAATGTAAAAATATGATAAAAAATTAAATTTAGCCATTTCTTTCTGCTTATTTTCTAATTTTTTGTAACTACTAATTACTAAATTGCTAAAAACTTTATTTTAGTAATAAGTGGTAATAAGTCAAGAAAGACAATTTTTTGTTACATTAAAATAACTAAAATTTTTTAAAAAACCCAAATTAGTCAAATTTGACTATTTTTTCTGCTTTATTACTAAATTAGTGCAAGAAATTTTAAGCATAAAAATAAATTAACCAATATAGAAAAAAAATAATTTTTTTTCACCTTTAATTTGTTGCTAATGTCTTATTTGTTTATAAGAATTGTTTATAACTTTACTAATAAACAAATGGTAAATATAAAAAGGTAAATTCAAGTTTGAAAATTCATTAATTCTATAGTTAGAAAAAATTACGTTTTTACCCTCAATTGTTGCTAATATATAATTTTTTTACAAGAATTGTTTATAACATTATTGAAAAGAAGTTTACCTCATTAAATGGTAAATTTAAATTTCAAGATTCATTAAACCTATAAAGAAAAAAAATACTCTAAGAAAAAAACGATTTTTTTCGCCTTCAATTGTGGTTAATATGTAATTTGTTTATAACATTTGTTTATAACTTGTTTATAAAATTTTTAATAATTTTGATCAATAATTTTTATTTCAAAAATTTATTAAAATAACAGATATATATAAGTCTCGATGGAAGAAGAAACTATTTTTTCTACTTTCACTTGTTATCAATTCTTAATTTGTTTATAAAATTGTTTATAACATTGCTAAATAATTATGTTAAATAATTGTTAAATAATTTTTAACTTCAACATTTATTGCAACTATAAAAATGGCGACAAATTTTAAGTAAAAAACGTAAAGGAAAAAAAAAACTTTTCGGACAGAATAGGTTAAGTTTTTTTTTTTAACAAATATTTAGCTTTTTTTATTAAATTATTATTTTTGCGTATAAAAATTAACTGAAGTTAAATTTAATTATTCAATTCGATATTTTGGTATTAATTTATAGGGGTAGTAAATTTACAAGAAAACACACATACACCCACGCACACGTCAATGAAGGCAATAATGTAGAAGGTCTATTAACTATTTGTGTGATAATTTGCGACAAGGGGAAAACTGTACTAAATTTTATATGACGTCATGCGAACATAGAAATAAAATATTAACTTAGTAAACTTACTTTTGCACTGCGACACGTGTACATTTTCCACAAAAAAAGAAGAAAAAGAAACTTTAGTAAAAATTAGGATAAAACATTGTTTTTCTTCATTGAAACGCAAAGAATGAGATGGAGAAGAACAAACATATGAATTTGTGTCCTTTTCTCGTCATAGGCATAGTCGTTTTACACGTTTCTATTTCGTAAACGAGTTTCTTAAATTTATTCCAAAATAAATTCGCAAAAGGAGTAAACAAGTTAGTGAACGAAGCATAAGATAGAAAAGGACAAAAGTTGATATTTTGTCCTCTTTCCTCTTCTCTCAATTCACGCACGTGTTTAAAACGTTTAGTTGCGTTTACAAACTCGTTTTGCAAATTTGCTTTGGAAACGCGAACGAAAAGCATGAGATAGAAAAGGACAGATATGTATTTCTTTCCTTTTCTATCTCATAGTTAATATTCGCGAATTATTGTAAAAAGACCCTTAAACCTTAAGGGTGAATTCACATTTTGCGAAACTACACGTGAATAAATGAGAGATTAAAAAATACCACTTATGTATTTTTAAATGCACTCTTTCTAGTAATAATCAGTAATAATTATAATCACATAAATGTAAATATTGAATTAAAATATTAATAGAAAAAAAAATATTCCAAATACTAAAAATTGTTCGATATTCCGTTATAAATATCTCACCCAGTACAACTCCACAAAATTCTTTACTATATTAGAAACATTAATAGACCGAGCTGTAGGTGTCAAGGTCAAGTTCAACGAAAATAGAATCAACTCAAGATTTTGATAAGTGAAAAAAGATTTTCCCCTGATTAGTTAATAATTTGCGTGCGTATAAAATAATTTTGATTGTGAACAAAAAAAAAAATTCAATTTCGATTGCTGATTAAGAGGTGAGAAAAAAAAATTCTTTTTTTGATATTATGTCATTGGAAGAATTAGTGGAGAGAAGAAGTGAATGCGGAAACTATATAAGAAAGAATAAACGAGAAGAAGAACAAGATTTTCTGTCCTCCTCTATCCAATCCTTTTTCGTTTCCATTCACTTTCGCTTCCCTATTTTGCTGCTTCACACACTTCTTTTAGGTTTTATTTTTGTTGACCTTGTCACCAGTTCCAAGCAAATTCTACACGTGTGTATGTGTGTGTGAGTTATACACACACAAATTGAAACCAAAAAATGGTTAAATTATCATAAAATGTTTTTATATCAATGTGCCATCAAAAAAAAGAATATAATTGGATGACGTTAATAAATTACATCACGCTATTTTCAACCTACTTTTCATTTACTTAGTAATAATTTTTTTTTTTAATGACATAATTTTATTAGAAAAATTATTTTTTTTATTTTCAAAATTAGGGTGCGTTCACAATGGTATATTATTTACCCCTATCATTTATATATTATTATAAAAAAATATAGCTCGCTCCCTCCTTTTGGTCTTTATTGCCCCCCCCCCTCTTTTTTTGCTAAATTCGTTAACATACCCTTAAAGGTGCGTTCTCACCGGAAACATGACTTTTTTTTGCAAATAGTGGAAAATGGGCAGTTCCACGTGAAATTTTCCTATGACATTTTAAAAATTATTTTAATATTTATTTATTGTCCGAATTTTGAAAATATTCCTAAATAGCTTCTAAGATAAATTTTCTAATTGTAATTTGACTTTGTTTTTTAATTTTTTTTTAAATTAAAAAAAAAATAAAAAATTTTTTTTTTATTTTTTGTTTTTTTAATTAATTATTTAATTTTGTTGTTTACAGGTTATTAAAATGAATTCAACAATGTCACCACTTTATAATCTTCGATGGGGTGATTATCTGCCAAATATGCTCAATGTTTTTGAGCAATTACTGAAGAAAGAGGAATACACCGATGTTACATTGTGGTTAGATTCAGGACAAATGGTGGTTAAATGTCATAAAATTATTTTAGCCGCTTGCTCAACATTTTTCGAGGATATTTTCTCGAGCATGAAAACAAAGGGTCATGCGAACGTTGTTCTCACTGACATCAAATATGCCGATGTTAAACCAATTTTAGAATTTATCTACAAAGGCGAAATTAATGTCACTCAAGAGGAACTTCAGGGCATTTTAAAAACAGCCAATTTCTTAAAGGTGATTTTTTTTGCAAATTCTTATTGTAGAAAAACCTTTAGAAAATTAAGGTTACTTTTGCATTTAGTGTAGAAGAACCTTAATGTTCTAAGGGTGCAAAGGTACTTATTGTAGAATAACCTTTAGAAAATTAAGGTTACTTTTGCATTTAGTGTGGAAGAACCTTAATGTTCTAAGGGTTTTTTTTTCTACAATAAGTATCTTTGCACTCATTGTAGAAGAACCTTAAATTTTGTTTTTCAAAAAAGACTAATATTCTATTTTTTCTCTCCCTTAAAGATAAAGGGTCTAATTCCCGAGTACAACGACAAGTACGATTCGAAATTCGAGCCGCAAGTTAATATCACGACATGTGAAGCTGACAGCAATGCGGAAACTTCAGATCAACGAACTCCATGTTGTTCTCATAAATGTGAGGAGAAACCGCATGTTGAAGATCGTCCAAAATCACAAAAACAACAACAACAACAACATCAAGAACAACAAAAACAACAACAACCCAATTGGCAACAACAAATGGAGCAGGAACAAATTTCACAGCATTATTTGTCTGATACGAATATGGAGACACCCATAAAGAGGGTAAAACAGGAGCCAGTCTATGAGGAGACGCCATTAATAAAAAATGTTGCGGAGAAAAATTCACGAAAACGTAGTAACGATAATCATTCGCGTCCATCGAATAGTTACGAACAACAACCTCCATGTCCACAGAGTAGTAATTCAGTGCACGAGCGTCCGAAAGATAATTACGATTACTACTTGTCCGATTATAGTATTTCCGAAGATTATTATAAACAGAAACAGGATCAAAGCAATACGAAGAGTCAGAAGAAGAATGTCAAGCAAGGTAAGTTGATTTTTATTTTATTTCCCATTGTGAACGAAGCTTAAAGACTTTGGTACTATTGAGTGTGAGAGAGATGGAAATATATGTTTGCTATGTTTACTCTCTTGCAATCTAACAGTGTAAATTCAGCCTTAGAATAGTTTTTTCGATTAAGTCGTGTGACTGCACCCTTAATTCGTAGAATCGTAATAGTGAGTATTTTTTTCATTCTGAAAATTATAAACATAACCTCAAATTTGTTGCTTCTTTAGTATACCTTTCTTCACTCATTATTTTAAAATATAATAAGAATAAAATGAGCCTATAAATAAATCATTTTTTTTTCTAGATCCAGCGAATCCTGCTGCAGGAGCAAAGGAATGGCGAAAATACAAAAAATACACACCCGAAGAATTAGAAGCAGCTCTACAGGCAATGCGAATGGGTCTCTCGCCAATTGCAGCCTCCAAGGAATTCAATGTACCGTCTCGCACTCTATACGACAAGGCTAAAAAATTGGGCATCGACACCAAGGACATACGACGAAATTGCAACAGAAGCGCCGCATTTCCAATTGGCATCGGTCGAAATATTAATAATCGCATTTACAGACGATTCCAGGAAAATGACTACGACGAAATGACGACAATCCCCATAGAAAATTTGAAACACGAAACAATAGAGAATTACAAGTCTGAAACAATTGAACCAAGTGAACCAATTGAACCACCCGCCGAACGTGACGCAATTGAATTGTTGACCTATCAACGACCTGATCTTCAAATACGACCCTCAACTTCCGATTCAAATTATGAAAATACAGCCGAAGATCTTTCAATTAAACACGAGACAAGTGTCATCACGTTAAATCCAAAGACTTAACATTCCTTACATTCTTAATTTTTTGGAATATATAAAAAGTTACAAATCACTACGCGTTTGAATTGTATATAAATATTTTTGTGCGAATTACACAAAAGAAAAAAAATCATTTCATATCGTGTCCAAATTCGTAATATTTGTAACTTTTAAGCTCGAAAATAAGAAAATATTCCAACGAACTACCTCAGAAACTTTCCGTCTTTCTGTTTTTTTTTTTAATTTTTTTTTTTAAATTTTTTAAAAGTGGCAATAAAGAATAAAGCATTTTAGCACGAAGAGAACGAAGGAAACGGAAAATTTAAGGAAATAAAAATATTTTTAAGATGTGGAATAAATCGAAACTATCGAGAAAATGCGACGAGGAAGGTGAAGAAAGAGGACGAGGTGAAGAAAAGTAAGACGAAGAGGGTATAAAAAAGAAAGGAGAATATAAAAAAGGGAGAAGAAGAAGAAAGAGTCAAAGAAGATAAAAAAGAAGAAAAAGAAGAAAGAGTCAAAGAAGATAAAAAAGGAGAAAAAGAAGAAAGAGTCAAAGAAGATAAAAAAGGAGAAAGAGTCAAAGAAGAAGAAGAAAGCATAAAGAGGCTATTAGAAATAAGAAAAAAGATGCTAAAAAATAATAAATAATCTATGAAGAAAGAGATGAAGAAAGTACAAAAAATACTAAAAATGTAAAAGCGAAACAGAGACTAAAAAGAAGTAAAAGTGAATAAATGAAGAAAAGAAATAAAAGGAGAAAAAAAACCTGAGGAGAAAGAATAAAATTTCCAGGACAAATGAAATGAAAAAAAAATTAAATGAATTTAATTCGAAGAAGAGTAAATACTAAAAAAAAGAAAAAGAAGAAGATGTAGCAGAGGAAGATGAAAAAAAATGAAACACTTCTTGATGAAAAAAAAATTCTTTGATGAAAATGAAAAAAAACGGAATTAAACTTGAAGAAAGTTGAGAAAAAGAAAAAATTCGAAATATAACAAAGTTATATTTGCTCAAAAATAACATCGATCCATTTGACGAGAAACAAAATATGTTTTAAGATATGAAATCTTAAAAATAAAATTCGAGAAAAATATATATCCAGTGTTTCACAAACAAAATTCGTTAGTGACGCTTTAATAAAGGCAGCAACAGCAAAAAGCAATAAAAAAGGATTTTTTTTTTTAAATAAAACAACAGTAAAAAAGTTTTTAAAATATATCGACAATACTATATCTAGTTAAAAAAATATATCAACAATAGGAAAATTAAAACAACAAGAATAGAAATGTTAAAAAGTATAACAATAGAAAAGTGAAGAAATATAATAGAAACGATAAAAAATTCAACAATAAAAACAAAACGTAAATCAACAGTAAAAACAACAAAATAAATCAACAATAAAACAACAAAAGCTCGAAAAAAAGAAAAATCACCGACTCACACTGCCTTTGCAATCGTTTCACAAAACAGGTAAAAAAAAATTTGTTTAAATATGGGAAAGTTGCAGTACGAAAAAAAAAACAAGTCGAACAAGACTGAGAGAGCGTCTGAATTTCAGAGACTGCTCAAATAATAATTTTCATTAATTGAACCGTGAGCATTTTTTACAGAAAGAAAAAGAAAAAATCCATCATTTTTTTTTCTCTCACGACATAAAGGTGGTGGGTCTTCAGACTTAAAAAGAAAATGTTGTTTCTTGAATTCAGAAAAAAAAAATTACAAACAAACAACATTTTATTTGCTCTCCTTAGAGTAATTATTATTTTAGAGAAATTTTATTTTACTTTCTAAGAGGAAAAAAAAAAATGGTGTAGCTATTATGATTCACATTTTCCTGTGAGATGGTAACGTCGCCGTCGTTTTATTGTTATTTAAAGAAAAAGAAATTTAGAGAAAAAAGAATCTAAAATTTAAGCAATTAAATAAGAATTACTAACTATTTGTTATTACGGTTTTATTATTATTAATATTTAGTATTAATAATAGTATTATTAGTAATAATATTGACATAATTGTTAAATTTACTTTTTATTATTATTATTATTATTATTATTATTATTAACTATAATAATTATTAATAATTTTATAATAAAATAATAGCAATTTTTTTTTAATAATTTATAATAATAATAATAATAATAATAATAGTAGTAATAGTAATAAAAATAAGGATAATATTAATAATGATGAAATAATTATAATTGTAATTATTGGTATTGTTATTATTATTATTTTTATTAATATTTTAATTTTAGTGTAATAATAAGCGCCAAATTGTTTAAGAATTTAAAAAAAATGTTAAACACTCACAGGGGAATCGTTACCGAAAGTTTAATTCATAATATTCAAAACTGCAATAATAATGCTCAACATATCTAGAAATAGTATTTTACGAAAATAATCTACCTCAAATAAAAAAAGTACAATGAACGAATCTGTTCAGAAACTTGGAAGACTGAGATACACTGAATCCAATGAATATAGACAATTATTATCCTCTTGTGGGAATAATTCCATTTTTTAATGATAATAACAATAGTAACAATAAAAATCATAATAAAAATAATAACAACAACAAAAATCATAATAAAAAAAAATAATAATAAATTTGAAAAATGGAACAAAAAATAGAAAAAAACCGATAAATTAAAATTTTTTTTATTTTTTGAATAAAAGTTTCTTTAATTTCAATTCAATGAAGAATTTTCTACACTATTAGTATTAAAAAATTAAATTTAAAGGAAATTTTAATTAATTTTATTAATAAAATTAATTAATTTTTATTTTGAATTTGAAATTTTTAAATTAAAATTAGTTTTCTTTCTAAACAATAAAAAAATAACCGTATAAGTGAAATTCCATTTATAATTTGGAAAAACAAGTGATTTTTAAATATAAACCAATAATTTTAATGATTCAAATAAAAAAAAAACATTAAATTGAATGAAAAATAAATTTAAAATTATATTTCAAAATCGAAATTAAAGAAAAAATGAAATAAATAATTGAATTTTTAAAATTAAAACAAAATTGAAATCAAATTTAAAATTTCTACTTTGAATTTGAAATTAATAATTGAATTTCGAAATTAAAAAATACAATTGAAATCAAATAAAAATCAATTAAAATTGAATTTCGAATTTAAAACTAAAAATTAAAATTAAAGAAAAAATGAAACTAATAATTTAATTTCGAAATTAAAAATGAAATTGAAGTCAAATTTAAAATTCCTACTTTGAAATTAAAATTAAAAAAAAAAATGAAATTAATAATTGAATTTCGAAATTAAAATACAATTGAAATCAAATAAAAATCAATTAATATTCAATTTCGAATCTAAAACTAAAAATTAAATTTCGAAATTAAAATCGAAAAAAGAAAGTTTTTTTTAATTTTCAATCCAAATTGTTTTTGACAATTTTTTGTTCGATTTTATTAAACAAATTAATGTTTTTCAATGTTTTTTAAAATATAATGACAATTTTATGTTTTTTTGTAGAGAAAAATAATTTTGAAACGATATTGTAAATATTTATTGTAAATTTTTATTTTGTAAATATTTGCAATTGACAATTTTTTATTGAATGTTTAATTAAAGTTTTTCTTCTAAACATTTTTTTTGTCGACAATTTACAATTTTTCCTAAAATAAGCAGCAATTTTTTTTTTAAAAATATACCTACAATGTTGTATTTACCAATTTGAAAAAAAAAAATTTACCAATTTTTACTAATAATGTTTGCAAAGAAGAATTTGTAATTTTTACAAAAAATTTTTTGTAAAAAAATTTTGATAGAATTTTTACCTCATTTATACAGTTGTAAATTTTTACAATTAATTTCTTTACCAAAAAAAATTGTTTAGAAGAAATGTAAAAATTGTTGAATGAAAGAAAAAAATTTTTTAAAAAATTTCAAAATGTTTAAAAAATTGCAAAAATTTATTTTCAAAATTTGCAAAAAAAATTTTTGATTTACACAAATACGGAAAATTTTGACCACAAAAAAATCGAATTTAAAAAATGGAATTACACCCCACGGTGAAATTGATCTTAAAAAGATATTTAAAAATTCTAGGAGTTAAAAAAAATTGTAAAAAGAGATTAATTTAAAAATTTTACAATTTTTCGATTTTTTTTTTTTTATTTTCTCCAATGAAATATCTTTTTATCGTCAATTTTTCTCATCTAGAGGAGAACAATAGACTTGTTATTATTTCTTTTTTCTAAACTGTTTAAATAGTTGAAGAAAAAAAGAAAACTACGATTACATTTGTATAGAAAAAGTACAAAAATGGATTATTCTGTTATATAGGAAATAAAAGGAAAAAAAATATAAATAGTAATATTTCACACAATTTTGATATGAAAAAGAAAGAGAAAAAAAATAGAATCAACAATTATATCATTAGCGATATCTTTTTTTTTTAATTAAATTTTCAGTTAATACATTTTATCGCATTATGTGTTATAGTTTAGAAAATGTATTCACTGAAGAATAATTAAAATTTATTAAAATCCGTGTAACGGTAAAAACTTTTTTTTTTAATTTTTAAGATATTTTTTTGAGAAACGTCCCATTTTACAAAAAAAAAAGTGTCGTTGTAGTTATTGTCATAATATTATAGTAATAAGATTGTTTTATGTGTTACATTTTAATCACACGGACAAAAAATAAATTACATAAAATTTTGCTGAGAGAAAAAGAATGTCGAAAATATTTTTTTTTTTATGTTAAATTTATCAGTGTGATTAAATTGTCATTTTTTAGACGTGCGGTTATCTTTTTGTTTTCTTTTATATAATTTTTTTTCTCACATGAAAATTTATATATGTATTAGAATATTTAAAAAAAAATAATAAAATCACAATTGTTTCTTTGTATAAGCATTTTTTTCGAAAAGAAAAATCATTTTTTCTTAGAGCAGATTTATTGAGAGAAAAAAAATCATCACGACATTATTGTTTAAGAAATCTTTGTATTTGCACTTTTTATAGTTGTATAAGAAAAAAAATCTAGTTTGTAAGAAAAATGCAGTTACGAAATTACGGGGCCTTTTAATTCCTAATTTTCGAAATCTTTTGTTGAAATATTTTTCAAAAAAAAAATTCCAACAAATTTTTCAGAAAAGAAAAAAAAATTGATTGAAATGAATAAAATAAATGAAATAAAAAAAAAAATGATCGAATAGTTTGAATAAAAAAATTTTAAATAATAAAAATAATAAAAATAATAATATAGAAGAAATGTCGAGGACAAAAGATTTCGATAATTAGTCGGTGTAAGAAATTGTTTATTTTACTTAACGCAAGTATATTATTTGTACTTAAGACTGAAATTTTTTCATCCTTACAGTTACCTTCATCACATATTATATTGTATAATAATTATAAGGATATATTTAATATTAAAATTTTAAGAGAATGATAAAAAAGAAAAATATAATTCACAAGTGTGCTATTTTCACAAAAAAAAATTTTTTTTTTCAAATTCTAAACTATTAAGTTGAGTGATTGCAATTTTATTGTGCAAAGTTTGTTATTCAATAAAGTATAATAAACAATACATTTGTCAATTACTTTTTAAAATTTTAATAAATCCTTCGATACAATCCATTTTTCTTTTAATTTTTAACCTAATTTTTCGAAAGAATTCAATTATTTTCTAAAATTCTACTAAGTTCTTCAAAAGAATTTAATTATTTTCTAAAAATTTCAATAAAATTCAATAATTAAATGTTTAATTTCAATTATTAAGAAACACGATTATTTTAAAAACTTGAAAGAAATTGTTCATAAAATTCAATTATTTTCAAAATTTTCAATTAAAATATTATTAAAAAAAACTCCATTATTTTAATAAAAAATTCAAAGAAATTCTTCAAAAGAATTTAATTAGAATTTTAAAAAATTGTAATAAAATTCTTTGCGAGAATTCAATTATTTTCATAAATATAATAAAATTCTTCGAAAAAGAATTCAATTATTCTCAAATTTTTTGATAAAATTGAAATTGAAAATATTAAGAAATATTTAAATTTTTTCATTATTTATTAAATTAAATATTATTTTTATTATTAAATTAAAATGTTTTTTTGTAATCCAAAAATTGTTTATTTGTAATCTTCCTCTTGCGGGTTTTGTTTTCCTGCGCATAAAAATTTGGCGCCAAACGAATTGAATATTTGTCAGAAACATAACCTAAAAATTGTGAATTATCAAAATAAACAAATGCTAGACAGATTTTGTTAGAATTTTTTTTTGAAGTAGTTTAATATATAGTTTAATCAAGATTATGAGTGTGAAGAACACAGCGGGTGAAAATTTAAAAAGTAATTATTTAGCAGCAATTCAAGAATTAGAGTTTTCGAAAGACGATGAAAATCATTTTAAAGCAATTGACATTGAACGAAGATGTCTTTTTATGAAATATTCCGTTGCACAAAAATTGTGAGTTTTCTTCTACTTTATAATTTCTTTATTTCTCCTCATTAATTATTAATTAATAATAATCTATTGTAACTAATACGAAATAAAGAAGTAATTAATGGAAACCAAATGCACTTCCGCACCAAAAGGCATAAGCCTTTTGGTCCGGAAGTGCATTTGGTTTACATCATTATTATAATTAATTTTTTCGTTGAATATGAAATAAAAAATAATTCAATTATTTAAAAATTAAATAAATTTTTTGAAAATAAATTAATTTTTACAGAGATTCGCAGGACACGGCGGCAGCAATATTATCCCCAAATCTCGAGAATATAGGTGAAAAAGTGGACAATATGAAAGGCATTAATAATTATTGGTCACAATTCAAGGAATTGAGCATTAAAACGGACAACGATCCGAAACAATGGAAATCAACATTAACAGAACCTCAAACAATGTTAAAGAATTTAAAACCCCTCTCTTGTCAAAAGGACAATCGACAATCGTGTGCAAAAAAGGAATTCAGCGATCGGCACATTGAAAAATTAATAGATTTATTACAAAATAAAAATTCCACGAGAAATCGAAAAATACCAAAAGTTGAGGAAAAAGCGGAGAGAAATGGCTTTGAATCAAGAAGCAATAATTTACCAACATCTTCAGAAACAAAACTCAATTTTGGAAGAATCAACAATGAGAAGAAATTAATTGCAGAGCGAAATTTTGAAATGAAACTGAACTCGAAGGCTGATAGTAATAGTAAATTTGTACCAAAGGTTCAAGTTAAGAAATCGTATTTTAATCAGAAAACAGAGAATAAAGTTGGAAAAAGTTGGTCGAGTGTACCGAAATATAATAATCGAAGGAATTTTCCACCTGAATCATCGTCGGAAGACGAAGTGAAATCGAATCCAATGAATGCGTTTAAAACGGCGAGAGTTGAATTAATGGAACAGGAGGCGAAGAAAAATGGACAGAAAAAAACGCTTGGAATTCATGGTAGAGGTGGTGCGGTTAATTCGAGATTTGTTTGTCCAATGAAAGCCGATGGCGATGAGGAAATGGAGAATGTACCGGAGGAATGTCAACATGAATTACTGAGGAACATTGAACCGAAAATGGTCGAGCAAATTAAGAACGAAATTATGTATTCGGGGACAAAGGTGACTTGGAACGATATTGCCGGTTTGGAGTACGCGAAGGGAGTTATTCAAGAGGTGGTGGTGATTCCAATGCTGAGACCTGAACTATTCACTGGATTGCGTCAACCACCGAAAGGAATTTTACTTTTTGGACCACCGGGAACGGGAAAAACGCTCATTGGAAAGTGCATCGCTTCGCAGAGCAAGTCAACGTTCTTCTCAATTTCCGCCAGTTCATTGACGTCCAAGTGGATTGGCGAGGGAGAAAAATTGGTAAAAAAACTAGCATTAAGGGCATAACTAGTCTACGTCCTGGATTTTTGTTTTATTCATCATTAAATATTAATATCATTTTTTAATTCATTTTTTTAACACTGGGAGACTCGTAACTGGCGTTTTGCTGTCCTGGATTTTTGTTTTATTCATCATTAAATATTAATACCATTTTTTGCTGGTCTTCCTGACGATTCTTGACCTTTTCTTCCAAAAAGACTGGGAGACTCGTAAGGGACCGTTCAAAAAATACGTAACGCTATTTTTCGGAAATTTGGACCATGTAACGCAATATTGTATACATTAGCGCCATTTTTTCTGCTGACTGTAACAAATAGCTTGAACCCCCCTCCCCCCAAAAAGCGTCACGTATTTTTTGAAGGCCCCTAACTGGCGTTTTGCTGTCCTGGTTTTTTGTTTTATTCATCATTAAATATTAATATATTTTTTTTTGCTGGTCTTACTGACGATTCTTGACTTTTTCTTTCAAAAGTACTGGAAGACTCGTAAGTGTCGTTTTTCTGTCTTGGATTTTTATTTTATTCATCATTAAATATTAATACCATTTTTTGCTGGTCTTCCTGACAATTCTTGACCTTATTTTCTAAAAACACTGGGAGATTAGTAAATGAACGCTTTGCTGTCCTGGATTTTTGTTTTATTCATCATTAAATACTAATACCTTTTTTTGCTGGTCTTTCTGACGTTTTTTGACCTTTTCTTCCAAAAAGACTGGGAAACTCGTAAGTGGCGTTTTGCTGTCCTGGATTTTTATTTTATTCATCATTAAATATTAATACCATTTTTTGCTGGTCTTCCGGACGATTCTTGACCTTATTTTTTAACAACACTGGGAGAATAGTAAATGAACTTTTTGCTGTCCTGGATATTTGTTTTATTCATCATTAAATACTACATAATACCTTTTTTGCTGGTCTTACTGACGATTCTTGACTTTTTCTTCCAGAAAGACTGAGAGACTCGTAACTGGCGTTTTGCTGTCCTGGATTTTTTTTATTCATCATTAAATACTAATACCATTTTTTGCTGGTCTTCCGGACAATTCTTGACCTTTTCTTCTAAAAAGGCAGGGAGCTTTCCTCCTTTTCTAACTCATGCATTGCGTTCGCAAAGCAGTTGTGCGTTGATCATTAAACTTTACTAGGAGTCCTGGGAGTGAAGGCATGAGCTGAAAGAATTAGAAAAGAGGTTAAAATAGGTAGACAGTGGTTATAAATACAAAAAAACAAGGGTTCTAGAACCCTACATAAGATAAAGTAATTAAAAAATAAAAATTTTTCACCAGGTTCGAGCACTATTCGCCGTAGCGCGCATCCATCAGCCCTCAGTAGTATTCATCGACGAAATTGATTCCCTCCTGTCTCAGAGATCAGAAACCGAACACGAGAGTTCAAGACGAATGAAAACGGAATTTTTGGTACAACTCGACGGTGCAGCAACGGGCGACAAGGATAAGATACTCGTCCTAGGAGCGACAAATCGTCCATATGAACTCGATGAGGCAGCACGTCGACGACTCGTTAAACGTCTTTATATTCCCCTACCCGAACTCGAGGCACGCGTACAAATTGTCGATAATCTTTTAAAAAATGAACGACACGAACTTACAAATGAGGACATTGAGGAAATTGGTCGACTCGCCGATGGCTATTCAGGAGCTGATGTGACAAATCTTTGTAAGGAGGCGAGTATGGGACCAATACGAAGTGTTCCAATTGATCAAATGGAAAATATTCGACCTGACGATATAAGAAAAATTACCATTGATGATTTTAAGAAAGCTCTAACTTTTGTTCGTCCCAGTGTATCGCAAGCTGATCTCGCCGTTTATCTCGATTGGGATAAAACTTATGGTTCAGGAACGGCTCAAAATACGTAAATTTGTATTTTTTTTTTAAATAAAGACTAAACTATTGAGTATTATTTTTTTACCCGTTGCCTAGAGAGCAAATAAAAGAATTTTGTAATAAAGTAGGTTGTAATATTTTTTCCTATTTTATTTCCCCCCCCTCCTCTCGAAGTTAGCGTTTGATTGTACTTTGGCCTTAACTTAGAGTGGGGATTGAGCTTAATGTGATGAAATGTCATACCATCTATATGTTTTGTGGTTAATGGTGATAATAATAAAGGCCAACGCAGAATTGATCTGTAACCGGAACCGCAATCGTAACCGTAAGCGTAAGAATGAGTTAGAGAAGGATAAACAATATACCTATCCTTCTTTAACTCATTCTTACGGTTACGCTTACGATGCGGTTCCGGTTAGAGATCTATTCTGCGTTGGCCTTAATAAAATAAATATAAGGTACATAAACGAGGTAAACTTTTGTATGAGAGAGAAGAAGATAGATACATCTTTCGTCCTTTTCTCTCCCATGTGAACGCAGAATAAAAATTTTTTTTAAATCGTGTGAATAGGACTTAAAGTGAATCATTAAGCTTCATTCATTTTCGAGATAATTGCCCCATTCCCGCACATTTGCATTTAAATACCTTCAAAACTCCCCTATTTATAATCATTTCATTGAAAAATCAAGAAAAATAAATGAATACCATCAATAATAGAATAATGAAATAATATTAAAGTTTTAAAGTTCAATTTTAAAAAAATCGAAGTTATTGTTAATTCTAGAAGAATATTCCCCACGCCAATTGGCTGAGACTTTTGTATTCTCTTCTCTGATTGGTCAGTATCAATATCCCTACACGTGCTCGAACAGGAAGTGCTTAAAATAGTTTCTAAACTAACCCTTTTAAATCCAAGCCTTCGAATCATAAACATCTCATGATCATTACTATGGATATTTTATAATAGAGAACATTTTATTTATATTTAAATAATAGTTTCTATTTTCATTTTGTTTCGTTAGTGTAGAAGGTTTTTCACACAAAAAGTCATCATCATGACAGAGAAAGGTTAGTAAAACTCTTTAAATTTCCATTTAAAGTTGTAATAGAAATTTTATTAGGTTTAATAGTTAGAGAACAAAGAGGTACTCAATACTTTTTAGCAATTATTCCTAGAGATATTTTTTTAAATTTCAATTATAATTTTTATGACAGTGAATCTCGGTGATTGAAAAATTTATAAAAATTAATTTTTTTCCAAAAAATTGTAATGTTTACGAATATAATTTTTACTATAAAAATAATAGAATTAAAAATAGTACCAAAAAAAGAAAATCATCAGTTTTTGCTAAGTAGAAAAATAAATTATTTTTTTCGATTTTTGGAAGACGTATAAAAGGTGGGAAAAAAATTGTTCTTTGTTAAAATATAGAAGAAAAATTTTAATATAATTATCTAATTTATAATAATAAAGGTACTTTTAAAATTATTTTTGTATAAACTAATTAATATTTTTAAAGGCATTTGTAAGAACATTTTGATATTTTTAATTTTTTAAAATATTTTTTTATTTGAAAAAGAAATTTTTTTTGTTTTTACTAATAAATTTGTATTTTTTGATTAATTTATTTTTATTATTTTACTTTCAGTGAATGATCGTTAATAATCAAAAAAATTTTTTAATTGGTAGATTTTTAAATTACTGAATATTATTTTACTAAAAGAAAGCAAAAAAAAAACACAAACTTGTTTTTGCATTAAAGATCATTAACTTCATTAGAAAACTTATTTATTTTTCAAATGCTAAAATTTTTTCAAAATAAATTTTCTATAAATTGACACTTTACTATTATTTTTATTTCAAATAATAAATTTGAATGTTTAAATAATTTTTTTTAATTGTTTTTCAGTATCAGTGAATAATCGTTGTTACGATGTAATAAACGATTTGAGCGACAGTGACAGTGGCGATGATTGGGATGAAAATGAAGAGACACAAATTATTTCGTGTCTATTTTGTACGCAGGAATACAATGATCGATCGGATGCCTTAAAACATCTTGAGGTCTGTCACGATTTCAGCTTACCAAACTTCAAGATAAAGCATGCCCTCGATATGTATTCTTACATAAAGCTGATCAATTTTATTAGAAAAAAGAATGTCTCTGCCTATGATCTCAATGCCCTCAACATTAAAATCTGGGACAGCGATGAATATTTAACTCCATTCATTCCAGACGATGCTTGGCTCATGTTCGGTAAACAAATTTTATTTATCTACTTTTTATATAAAATAACGTTATTTTTATAATATATTTACATATACTCTCACGATTTGAATTTGTAAAAATGTTTACTATTTTAAATTAGTGACTGAAAATTTACTTTTAAATTAGTAAATTTTACTAATAAATTAATAAAAATTATTATTTATTGGTCAAATTTACTAATTCAAACCTTAATTATTATTTATTTATTATAAGTTAAAATTATATTTTTGATTTTAGTTGAAAACACTTAAAAAATTGAAAAGGTTTTCAAATTAAAATTTTTGAAAATCTGAACTTTTCTTTTTTTTAACGAATTAATTTTTTTGAAAAAGTTTAATTGAATTTTTTAAAAATTATTTGAAGTTTTTATTTTCTAGTATAAATATTGAATTGAAAAATTTCCGAATAAATCGAAATTTCGTAAAATTGAATTGTAAACAAATAAAATTCTCAAAGAACTTATTCAAAAATTATTTAAAATAATTGATTAGAAGAAGAATTATAGTTAAAAATTTTAGAAAAGAATAATTGAATTGAAATTATGAAAATAATTTTGAAAAACAAAATTCATATTTTGGGCAACCTTGAAAAAGATTAATAACAATTTAAATCTGTTAATTTTGTAGACAAATAATTAAATACAAAAATAAACAAATAATAATGTAAAATTAATAAAAGTATTATTAATAAATTTTCCCTTTCAATGCAAGGAATTGGAGATTAAAAATTCGAATCTGTCTCTCTGTGCAGACATGGAGGAACTTGAGGAGAAAGTAACAAAACCCGCCGCATATCCGGTTAATTCTGAGAATGGCTGTGTAACTCTATCGGAAATTCATTTTGCCGAGCTCCAAAGAACAATACAATCACTCAAGGCCCAATTGGAGCAAAGAGAATTGGCTTGTCTCTCGGCAAAGCAGGTATATTTTTTTTTTTTTGCAATAATATCTTTTCTATTTTTATTATTTTTTTTTTTTCATTGAAAAAGCTTCTATTTTATCGAAAGAAGAAAAAAAATTCTACTTGTTTGAAAACTATGAAAACATAAAACTCTGACTAAAAAAAAATAATGGCGATAACAAAAATAAAAACAATAATATAATAATAATAATTTTAAATTTTTTATATTTATACTTGAAATAATGTGAAAACTAAAAAAGATGAAACTGCGATTTTTAAAAATAAAATAATGGAAATAAAAAAAAATAATATTAACAATAAAAGGAATAGTCCTTGTGTTACTTGTACATGACTTTAATGTATGAGTGTCGAAACGGACTGAAATTAAAATACCGAATTTCAAAGCCAGTATTTATGTTAATTTCCAAATGTAAGTACACGATAATCGGTAATAATATAAAAAATAATAAATATATAAATTTGTAGAGAGTAAATTTTGAATAAATTAAATTGTTTCAATGGAAAATGATCATGAAAAATTAATAAAAAAGAAAAAATGAAAATGAATTTTTGTGTTTCAGCAAATAGACGAAATGAGAGAACATGCACATCGTCTTGTTTTGGATGACGAACCACAGCCTTTAAAGGAGAGAAGCGTAAAAAGTGTCTCCTGTGATATTGACAAAGGTTATTTCAATACCTACAGTCATTTTGCCATTCATCATGAAATGTTAACGGTATTTATTCATTTTTATAAATTAATTTTATTTTTTATATTCTTATAAATTTTCAGGCCTTGGATTATTTATAACATTTTCAACTTTTTTCGACTATTTTAAAAAAATTGCGACTTTTTTCGACTTATTTTCAAAAATTACGACTTTTTCGACTTTTCTTTCGAATATTCCAATAATTTTTAAGTATAAAATGCAACTTATTCTCGAAATTTACAATTGAAAAGAGTTTCAATAAATAATTGAAATTTTGTCAAATTTAATTGAAAATAATTGATTTTTTTTTAAAGTGTTTTATACAAATTTTTCAAAAATCAACATTTGAAGAATATTAATTGCAAATTTTTGAAAATAATTGAAATTGAATTCCTAGTAAGAATTCAAATATTTTCAAATGATTTCCATAAAACTCAATTATTTCCTAAAATTTTTAATAATTTTTTCGAAACAATTTCAACTATTTTTATAAATATTAAATACTAAATAAATTTTTAAAATTTACAATAAAAAAAGAGTTTTAATAATTGAAATTTTGTAAAATTAAATTGAAAATAATTGATTTTTTTCAAAGTGTTTGATAATGAAAATTAGCTTCAAAAAAATTATATTAAAATATTTTTGATAAAAATATTTCTTAGAATTTTTTTGCAATTAAAATTCTTTAAAAAATTCAATTATTTTTTTAATAGAATTTACCAAATTTCAATTGTTTAGAAATTTTTCAATTCTTTATAATTGAAAAACAATTATCTTTTATAAATTATTTTTAAAATATTTTTGAAAAAATTAATTTTAAGAATTTCTTTATTATAATTTTTTGAAAATTAATAACTTAAAAAACATGGGTCAGTTTCATAAATAGTAAAATTTCCTCAGGAATTCAATTCTTTTTAAATATTTTAATAAAATTTTTCGCAATAATTGAATTATTTTCATAAATAATAAAATTCTTCTCAGGAATTCAATTATTTTTGAAAATTTTAATTAAATTCCTGTCAAAATTCTAATTATTTTAAATAATTTTTAAATTAAATTATTTTTAGAAGTCAAGAAAATAAAATATAAAATGAAATTTTTGTCAGTTTTATGAATTATCTAAAACGAGTTTTTTTGTTTGTTTGTCTTGTTTAATTTTTCGATAGCTACTTTTTGCTACTTTTTTAAAATTAATATTATCGAGTGCGAAGTTTGTTATTATTATAATTTTATATTAGTTATTAATTATTTTTATTACTTTTTTAATAGGACAAGGTCCGAACGGAAAGCTATCGTGATGCTCTATTAATGAATTCGCACACTTTCCATAATTGTTTGATGTTGGACGTTGGTTGTGGGACGGGAATTCTTTCCATGTTCGCTGCAAAATCTGGATGTCGAAAAGTCATCAGCATCGATCAATCGGAAATTATTTATCAAGCTATGGATATTGTCAGGTTCGAAGCAATTTTCTCTGAATTTTTTTTTTACATACAATACTTTTTTTTTACCTTCAATTTTGTATGTATATTAACAGGGAAAATAATCTCGACGATGTGATAACATTGAAGAAGGGACGATTAGAAGATATTGAATTAGATATTGACAAAGTTGACGCGATCGTCTCCGAGTGGATGGGATATTTTTTACTCTTCGAGGGAATGTTAGATACGGTCGTTTACGCCAGAGATCATTATCTTTCACCTGGGGGGAAACTTTTACCGAATCGATGTACTCTCAGCATAGTTGGAAGTGGAGATACCAGTAAGTCCTTTTTTTATTTACTATTTGTATTTATTATTTATATTTCTTATTTTTATTTACTATTTTTAATTACTATTTTTATATACTATTTTTATTTTACAATAAAATTTTCGGTATTGAATACCTGGATTGATATTTCAAAAAATTTTTTTTTTTAAAGAACGTTACGTGGATCTCGTGGATTATTGGTCGAATGTTTATGGATTTAAAATGAGTTGCATGAAAGCGGAAGTAATAAGAGAGGCGAGTATTGAAACTTGCAATCCTCAGGAATTGATAACTAGCGTTGCCCAACTTCAATCATTCGATCTTTACACCGTTGACACGAATTGCGTCAATTTTTCATCGCCATTCGAATTGACGGTGAAAAAAACCGGATCATTAACTGCCATTGTTGGATATTTCGATGTGTTCTTCGATTTGGACAATCCAATATCCTTTAGTACTGGACCACAATCAACTCCCACGCACTGGAAACAGACTGTCTTCTCCCTCAGCGAACCAATTAGTATATCTGAAGGTAAACTTTTCAATTTATTTATTTATTTTTTTTATTTATTCAATCTCTATTTATTTTTATTATTTTTATTTTTTTATCCCTATCTTCGGAATTCTATAATTAACCCCAAAGGAAAAAGATTTTCAATAATTTTTATATTTTTTCAATAAAAAATAAATTAAATTAAAAATATAAAAAATATATATATGTATAATAATAAATATATTTCTTTTTCAATTCAATGAAATTAATTAGAAATTTTAAAGAACTTAGATTTTTGAAAAATTCTATAAATTCAAATTCTTCTGAAATGAGTTAAATTTTTTTAATACATATAATCAATTATTAAAAATAATCGATCTATAGAAGAATTTTATTTAAAAAACAATAAAAAAGTAATTTAATTTTGGAGAAGTTACAAAATGAATGCAAAAAAAAATTCAATTATTTAAAAGAAAAATTTTAATAAAATTCTTGTCAAAATTTCAATTAACTTTATAAATAATAAAATTCATTGCAAAATTCACTTATTTTCAAAAGTAATAAAATTCTTTGCAGAAATTCAATTGTATTCAAGATTTTTTTTTAATTTTTCGTCAAAATTTTATAAGCTAATAAAATTCATCATAAAAATTTAATTACTTTCAAAAGTTCTGATAAAATTCTTTGCAAAATTCAATTATTTTTATAAATAACAATGTTCATGAAAAGAATTCAATTATTTTCAAAAATAATAAAATTCTTTAAAAAAATCTAATTATTTTTAAAAATTTTAATAAAATTCTTTTCCAAATTTCAATTATTTTAATAAATATCAAAATTCATGATAAGAATTCTACGCAAACAGTTAATTTGAAACTTTTGTAAATCTTAATTCCTATGGAAACATAATGATGATTAAATATTTATTTTAAATAAAACTATTGATGCTTTTGAATAATTTAACAATTTTTTAATTTTTTTTACTTTTAACAAATTTTAATTCGTTGTTTAGTATATTTTTTGTCCCTTCTAATTTTTATTTTCTATTGATAAAGGTATTAAACAGAAAAATTAATTAAAATTGTTTTATTCACAGGTGAGACAGTTAGTGGAAAATTAATTTGCCGAAGGCACGTTAAGGACATTCGCGGATTGATAATCACAATTCAGCTGAAAAACACCAGTCAGGTTTATCATTTAGATTAAAAATTAAAAGTTAAATAAGAAAAGTAATTTTAAGACACTTTCAATCACATTTAAACAGTTAAGAAATAGTGTCATTCAAATTTGAAATTATAACAATTCTCAGAGTTTTATTTTCCGGTACTTTAGTTATTGGAAATTTATTCTTTGACGATAATGTTATTGTTTCTGTAATATAATTTTTTTAAAAAATGAATTCATTAAATTATTAGTTTTTAAGTGAATTTATTAAGTTATTATTTTTTAACTGAATTAATTTCATTATTCATCAATTATGAATATATAATTAAAAATATTGTAATATATTCTTTAAATTTTTAGTATTCTTAATTAATTAATCCAGAAATGTAATTTTGGTACATTTTTCATTTTATACAGCAAATTTGCCATTTATCGTCATATTTAATTTTTGATTCTAAAATCAATGGATAAAAAATAAAATACAGATGATAAAAAATGAGAATTTAATTTCAAAATTGAATAGCCAAAAATGCTTCTGAATTTAGAAACTAAAAAAAAAAGTTTTTGATAGCTAATTTCTAGGCAAGTAGAATTTCCCAAGCTTGATAAATTTATGGAATTGCCACAAAAAATTATTTAAAATATTTTTCTAAGCTTCTTTTATTTATTTTACAAATATTATTTCCACAATTTTTAAAGCAATGCTTAAAACTCTCTTCCACTTTATGTGCCTTTAGATAATAATAATATTAATGAAACAAGAAAAAAAAATATATAAAAAAGCTTTGTACATAGAAAAACGCAACAAAATTAATCGTTGCACAAGCACAGGTTGTAAAAGCTTTTTTTTTCCAAGGAAAATGCACAATTTTACTCGCACTTAGAAATTTTTTGACGATCAACAAATTTATGTCCGTTGATCTTTAAAATAAAAAAATTTTTCGACAATTTTTCAAGACGATTAACAATCACAAGTTATTCTCGCACAAGTTAAAGTCGTCCTTTAAGGTAAATATAAATGGAAACAAAATAAAAAGAAAAGAAAAGTAAAAAAAAATAAAATAAATAAATAAAACTACAAAAAAAAAAAAGTATTCAACTTTGCGCATTTAGTAGATTGAAAACTTGAAGCGCTTGACCATTTTTTCTGCATTTAATCTAACAGAGCGAAATGTGATCGATGCTGAGACGATTTCTTGACAAATGTAAAAGAAAAGTTTTTTTTAATAATGGACCAAAAGGGACCGAATTTGAAAATTTACGCTTTATCGAATTTTTCGATAGTAAGGATTAATTTTCAAGAAATTGATTACTTTTTATAGTTATAATAAATTATTTTAAGTCAATTTAATTTAACTATTAGTGATTATGCATTTTTCTTAAAATGAAGTTTTTTTCTATTACAATTTTTTTCTGTTCTATTTTGAGTCGAATTTTACATTTTGACATTAACAGGGCTCGGATCGTCTTTGAGACTCAAAAAACAGTCGCTTTAGTTGCATAAATTTACAACAAAAGTAACGAAAAGTCGCAAAATTTTAATGAGGTATTTTTAACATTTTTTTTAAAAATTCTCTTTAAAATGTAAATTATTTTTATAAATAATAAAATTCTTCTCTGAAATTCAATTATTTAAAAGAAAAATTTTAATAAAATTCTTGTCAAAATTTCAATTACCTTTATAAATAATAAAATTCTTCTCTGAAATTCAATTATTTTCAAAAGTAATATAAACTTCTTCGCAGAAATTCAATTATATTCAAAATTTTTTCTTAATTTTTCGTCAAAATTTTATAAATAATAAAATTCATCATGGAAATTTAATTATTTTCAAAAGTTGTGATAAAATTCTTTGCAAAATTAAATTATCTTCAAAAATAAGAAAATTCTTCACAGAAATTCAATTATTTTCAAAAATTGTTTTTTTAAATTCTCCTCAAAATTTCAATTATGTTTAAAAATATCAAAATTCTTCTGCAAAATTCAATTACTTTTCAAACATTTTTTTTTAAAAATCTGTTCAAAATTTCAATTATTTTTGTGAAGAATAAAATTCTTCTCTGAAATTCAATTATTTGCAAAGAAATTTAATAAAATTCTTGTCAAAATTCAATTATTCTTATAAATAACAATATTTATCAGAAGAATTCAATTATTTTCAAAAATAATAAAATTCTTTAAAAAAACTCAATTATTTTTAGAAATTTTAATAAAATTCTTTTCCAAATTTCAATTATTTTAATAAATATCAAAATTCATGACAAGAATTTAATTCTTTTGAAAAGTAACAAAATCCTTTGCAGAAATTCAATTATTTTCCAAAATAATAAAATTCTTCTGAAAAATTCAATTACTTTTAATCATTTTTTAAAAAATCTGTTCAAAATTTCAATTATTTTCAAAAATGTTCATAAAATTCTTCACAAAATTTCAATTATCTTTAAAAATAAGAAAATTCTTCTTCCAAATTAAATTATTTTCAAAAATTTTAATAAAATTCTTTGTAAAATTTCAATTATTTTCAAAAGTTCTAATAAAATTCTTTGCAAAATTTAATTATCTTCAAAAGTAAGAAAATTCTTTGCAGAAATTCAATTATTTTCAGAATTTTTTTTTAAATTCTCCTCAAAATTTTAATTATCTTTAAAAATATCAAAATTCTTTTGCAAAATTTAATTACTTTTAAAACATTTAAAAAAAACTGTTCAAAATTTCAATTATCTTTATAAATAATAAGATTCTTCTCTGATATTCAATTATTTGCAAAGAATTTTAATAAAATTTTTGTCAAACTTTCAATTATCTTTATAAATTATAAAATTCATCCTAGAAATTCAATTGAATTCAATTTTTTTTTAAATTTCTCGTGAAAATTTTAATTATCTTCATAAATAATAAAATTCGCCATGGAATTTAATTATTTTCGAAAGTTCTGATAAAATTGTTTGCAAAATTCATTTATCTTCGAAAGTAAGAAAATTCTTACAAAATTCAATTAATTTTAATTTTCTTTGTAAATATCAAAATTCTTCTGCAAAATTCAATTACTTACTAATGTTTTATAAATTTCTTCCCAAACAATTCAATTATTTTCATAAAAAATAATTAAAAAAATTTTTTTTAGTCTTATAATATGAAACAATAATATTATCACTCGGTCATTTTTAATTATTATAAAACATGAAGAAATTGATCTATTTCTTTATGTTTTATAACAATTTTTTATATTTTTGTTTAATTTCAAAAAGGTTTGAATTTGAATCTTTTAAAGAATTTTAATTCCTATGGAAAAATAATAATGAAATATTTATTTAAAAAAGAAGTTATTGATGTTTTCGAAAAATTTTAAAGAAATTTGTAAATAAATTTTTTGATTTTTTTTTTGACATTTTTTTGATTAAAACTTTTTTCTTTAAAGTTTTAAAATTTTTTTAAATTTCAGTCGCATTTTACTAAAAAAAATCTTGAAAAAGTCGATAAGTTTGCATTTTTTCACAAAAAAAAGTCACATTTCCTTCTAAAAGTTGAAAAAAGTCGAAGAAGTCACACAATCCGAGCCCTGCATTTAGAGAAAGAAAGAAATTTTAAAAATTAATATTTTAAAATTAAGTTAAGACCATTCGAGTCTTGGGGATAGTTTCTAAAATTAATTATGGAACTTCTTAAATAAAAGTTTTTGAATTAAAGACAAGAATGTCTTTAAGTAGAAACTGAATTTCAGAGTTCGGATAAAAAAAAATAAAAAGTCATTAATGTTGTCAGTTGATATGATTTCATATTAAGATCTGACCAATCATTCTATTATAAAAAAAAACGAAGTAATGTAATGGGTATCGCATGTCTGGTTGGACGTCAATTGTAAAGTTTAATTTCCTACCAATTTCCATTCAATGTATAGTATTTTGACTATTATTTAGAAAAATAAATATAAAATGAAAATTTTTATAAAAAAAACGATGTAATGGATGGGGAATCGCATATCGGGTTGGACATCAATTGTGAAATCTAATTCCCTACGATTTTTCATACTTTTCGTTAAGAAAATAGATTACGCATTTGATTTTAAATCAAAGTTTACTATTATTGTTCATGTCTGTAAAAAAAATAATCACTAGATAAACTACCAGTGTCTCTGGTTTGACACTCTTCCCACATGCTGAGTATGTTTTTGGATAAAAGTATGAATTTTGCATCTTCCTGATGGGACTTCATTATTTACAAGATTGTGCCGCTTGAAAAATTCTGAAATACTGCAAGTTGTGTACCACACGCAGGTATCAGTAATTTTCGATTTTGGAAATAAATCGAATGACGGTTTTTGGTGTTTGATCAAGTATTTTTGAATTTTTTTCAAAATTAATGAAAATCTCTAGTAAATCGGTTACTTCTTGAAAATCCGTAAATAACTCTTTGACACTTGCCCACGGGAAGTCTTTTAAACGTCCACGACCTCCGGAAAAGTCGAGAGAAAAAGATTTTAAATTTAGTGCTTTCATGCCTCTGCAATTTTGGGCCTGGTACATATCCATTTAAATTTTCCGTGGGTAAAGCTCCAACTGGAAAGCTTCCTCTCGGAAGTGGGTTATACCCATCAAAAAACTGTCTCCTCGTTCGGTTAATTACTTTTCATTATTTCATGTCATATATAATGTCTCGATTATATTAGACAATTTCCTCAATCATTAATGTGATATTCATATTCTGCTTTTGGGGTCATGTTGGAATTGAATCTGGTGATACAGAGATTCACTAAATTCGACTCTGTTTGCTCTGGGCTGCACGGTATGATAGCAGTCAAGTATCAATGATCTACTAAAACAGTAAATTGTTTTTTGCCTACTATTATACTGCCCAGCCGAGGGGGAGGGTTTAATTTAGTGATTATTTAAAAATCTGGTTCAATTTCAAATGATAAAAAATATTATAAATATACTCTGAAGTAGTTCGTCTAGGAGAGCGGCAAATTAACAGTTGTAGTAAGAAATATTTTTTAAAAATATGATACATGGTGCAGTATCATGTTCTTCTCTTTCATACTCTTGTGTATGCGTAAATGAAACGTTATGAACACTTTTATCAAAACTTTGCATGAAAAATTTTCCAACTTCTGGCAAAAATTTCTAAAGTCCTAAGACATTTAATAAATCTTGTTGTTTTACAACAAGCAGTTAATTCTCATAAATATAAATTTGCTCTTTGCGGAACTTTGTTAAAGAGCGCTTCATAATCCTCATAAAACTTTACTTTGTCGACTAATGCTCGATTGTCATCAATACTTTGATTTCTTGTATAAAACATAATAATTAATAATAATTAATAATAATTAATAATCATTGAAATAATTATATAAAAAATTTACATTTTCCTCATCAGCTTGGATGAATAGTGGTCCGAAAGGATCTCCTTTGAATTCTCAGGCATGTAGATTGTGTTTTTCAAAGTTCATCCTCAAACTTTAATGAAAAAGTCATTAAAGCGTTAGTTAATGATGTGATTTCATAATTGAGATCTGCCTAATCATCTGTAATAAAAAAAAAGAAAGTAGTACAATGGATAACGCATGGCAGGCTGTACGTCTATGGTAATAATTCTCTACCCCCTTTTCCATTCAATGTTAATAAATAAAAATTTAATAAAAACGAAATAGTGCATTGGGAATCGCATATCTGGTTGGACGTCGATTGTGAAAGGAAAAATAAATAAAAATTTAATAAAAACCAAATAGTACATCAGAGATGCCATTAGGCGGAGGAATTTCATCCCCACTCTTGCGCCATTTTACATTGACTTAAATGTAAAATGGTGCAAGAGTGGGGATGAAATTCCTCCGCCCAATGGCATCTCTGTAGTACATTAGGAATCGCATATCTGGTTGGACGTCGATTGTGAAATCTAATTCCCAACCACATTCCATTCAGTGTTGTATTTTGATTATTATGTTTAAACATAAATGAAATCCGGCAGCTGAATTGTTCACGACAAGTGGCTTAATGCTTTACTTAAAGTTCACCTCATTTTTTTTAAACTTTTACTTCACTTCCTTTTAGATGAAGAATTTTTGCTACTCTTTAGATGTTACAAGTTTTTTTTTTAAACATGTTAATTGAACCAAAACCGTTTCTTTTTTAAGAACAAAATTCATTTTATACCATAAAACTGTTCAATTGAACAAGATTTGATGACAATCCAAAAAAAAAGAGAAACATATTTGTCAAGAAATCGTTTTACAGCATCAGTTTCGAAACACTAGTAAATAAATTAATTCTCAAGATTCTACTGTGATATAGAAATTTAGTAGCAATCTCCGACTTTATAAATAGTGTTAAAAGTTTAAAAAATTATTATTGACACCTAAGCTGAAAGTGAGCTTTTTTTGTGTCACCTATACTACTATAAGAATCCGAATTACTAAGTCTTCAAATCTAGTTGAAAAAAATAGCGGTTAGAATTTCACGCTTAAAATAAAATAATAAAAAGAAAAAGATTGTTAAATAAAAATTTGCTGACAAATTAAAATCAGTTGATAAATAATAATTTATTTTGTAAATCGTGAAAGAATTTAAAAAAAAAATAATAAATATGAATGATTTAAACTTCAATCGAAACATATCGTTAATGTAACACTTACTTCGTAGAAGTCGAGTAGAAGTAATATAGAAAATAATATCCGAAAGTATGAAAATATGAAAATATTTTCCTTTAAAAATTTGTCAGAAAATTTACAGAATTATTTTAAGAAATGACAACTTTCAATTTTTTCTTATTGGAGAATTAAAAATTTGTTTAAATATAAGAAATACAGAGTTAGCAAGAGAGGGAGTAAAAGCGAATCAACTCTATCGTTCCCCTCTTCTTTCCTTGTCTAATAACGCTTGCGCATTGGCACCTTGCGTATATTTATTTCTAACCTCAAAATTTTATGTTTAATTTTTTAAATATTTTAAATTTTACGTTAAATTTTTTAAATATTTTAAATTTTATGTTTAATTTTTTAAATATTTTCAGTTTTATGTTTAATTTTTTTAATATTTTAGGTGTTTTGTTTAATTTTTTTAATATTCTAAATTTTGTGTTTAATTTTTTAAATATTTTAAATTTAAAAAAAAAATTTTTATTTTCTTAAAAAGTAAATTTTTATTAACCATCACTGCGCAGGCGTTATTAGACAAGGAAAGAAGAAGGAACGTTAGAAACTTTCTGTCTTTTTCTACCGAGTTGATAATAGCCCTCAATTTTAAGGAAATTGAAGATAAAAGAAAATAAAAAAAACAATTTTTTTTAAAAATTTTATTGGAAATTTCACTGAAATTTGTAAAAATTGTTATTTAACAAAATCAGAATTATTTTCTATAATTGAGAATTTAAAAAATGGAATGAATTGAAAGTTTGCTAATTTACAAATATTGATGATTTTTTTTTTTTTGTAAACTCAGGCAGAATAAAAATTGCTTTATTAGAAAGCAATTTTCATTCTTTATAAAATAAAAAGCTTTAATAAATAATATATTGTATACATTTAAAATGAATTCCGCTTTAGAATTATAGAAAGCGAGCTTTACAAATTTACAAAATGAAATAAATTGTTGTAATATAACTCTTTATTGAAAATATATAAACTATTTACAATATCATAAAATATAAGGCATATGAGCAATTCCACGGGAAGTGATCTGAAGAATTTTCGATGATTTTAGCAATATTAATAATACTTACTGAATTTGTTCCCTCATATACATGGAATAAAAATGTATAAAAGTTTTTTCAAAATTTTCAAAATTTTTTGAGTTACCGCTTACTCAAAATTTTGGTCGGTTTTTCAAAAAAGGCACATAACTTTTTTCTTTGTTAACCGATTAAGATAATTTTTTTTGGAAAATACTCATAATAAGAAGCACTTTAAAGAAAAAAATAAAAAGAAAAAAAAAAATTTTTTTTTGCCCGAAAAAATTTTAAAAAAATTTTTTGAATCAAAATTTTGAAAAAAATACCTCTTCGATTTGAAATTTTTTTTTTTGTAGTTATTGTCTATAAAGTCAAGAATCCTTCCTATAAATTTAATTATGGGACAACAATAACTTTACGAGAAAAAAAATAAAATGTCCAGCGCGGCATGCCGGGACTCGTGCATGTATTCGCTTATGGCGGCGCAAGTATCGTTCCAAATCACTCTACAAGTCACAATTTTTTGCCAAAACGATTTTTCTTTTTTTCTAAATCTTCGTAATTAAGTCTTCTATCGATCTCTCGAGCCCGGTTTTGAAATTTTGTTTTTAAACATTTTTTTAATAACAATAAATTTTAAAAAAATCATAAAATCGTAAACTATATTTTTTTCAGCTTCAATCATTCAGAAAATTAATCAAAAAACCTATTAAAAGAATGTTTGAGTGTTTCTGATGTATAACAAAAGTATACCAATTTATTAAATTGTTTAAACAATTAATTGTTATTTCTTTCCTAAACTGTACTTAAGGTTAGAAATTTCTAGTTTTTTCTCTATTGTTACAATTTTTCATGAGTAAAACATCTACTGATGATAAGAAAGAAAAAATTATTTATTATAAAACTGTTTAGCCAATGAATTGTTGCCATTTTTTTATAAATTGCACTTAAGGCTAAAGTTTCTAGTTTTTTCAAAGTACAATTCATTAAAAAATAGAAAACTATAAATTAAATAATAAGTTTCTAGTTTTAAGTTCAGTAAATTGAAAACTTTACAAAAAATAAATTGTTTAAACAAAAAAAAAAATGCACAATTAAAAAAAACTAGAAGTTTCTAACCCTAAGTACAGTTTAGGAAAGAAATAACAATTAATTGTTTAAACAATTTAATAAATTGGTATACTTTTGTTATACATCAGAAACACTCAAACATTCTTTTAATAGGTTTTTTGATTAATTTTCTGAATGATTGAAGCTGAAAAAAATATAGTTTACGATTTTATGATTTTTTTAAAATTTATTGTTATTAAAAAAATGTTTAAAAACAAAATTTCAAAACCGGGCTCGAGAGATCGATAGAAGACTTAATTACGAAGATTTAGAAAAAAAGAAAAATCGTTTTGGCAAAAAATTGTGACTTGTAGAGTGATTTGGAACGATACTTGCGCCGCCATAAGCGAATACATGCACGAGTCCCGGCATGCCGCGCTGGACATTTTATTTTTTTTCTCGTAAAGTTATTGTTGTCCCATAATTAAATTTATAGGAAGGATTCTTGACTTTATAGACAATAACTACAAAAAAAAAAATTTCAAATCGAAGAGGTATTTTTTTCAAAATTTTGATTCAAAAAATTTTTTTAAAATTTTTTCGGGCAAAAAAAAATTTTTTTTTTTCTTTTTATTTTTTTCTTTAAAGTGCTTCTTATTATGAGTATTTTCCAAAAAAAATTATCTTAATCGGTTAACAAAGAAAAAAGTTATGTGCCTTTTTTGAAAAACCGACCAAAATTTTGAGTAAGCGGTAACTCAAAAAATTTTGAAAATTTTGAAAAAACTTTTATACATTTTTATTCCATGTATATGAGGGAACAAATTCAGTAAGTATTATTAATATTGCTAAAATCATCGAAAATTCTTCAGATCACTTCCCGTGGAATTGCTCATATGTTTCATTCTTCTCGAAAATTAAGTACAAATCATGAAAAAATTAAATTTCCCATTTTTTTTCACTTTGTTTTTAATAACGAAAATTTGGATTATCCGTTTGCCATCCAGTGGCGTTGGGTCCAAATTGATAAACTAGTCGTCTTCCCAAAACTGGAAGGAATATTTTCCTTTTGTAGTAATACCTGAAAAAAAATTATTATTTATTCATATTCCCAAGAAAATGAAGCAAACGATTTTGTAGGTTATGTTTGTATTAGATTTATGTTGATTAATAGTTTTCGTTTGATTATTTAAATTTGAAACCAGTTTTTATTAAATATTTTTGATCCAATGAAGACTTGAACTTCAATAATTTGCAGTAGTAATTAATTTTCTTTTTGTATTTTAACTCAAAAAATTGTAAACATAACCTAAAATTTTAAGCTTTTAGGTACCTTTCAAATTGATAAAAAATCGAATTAACAAGAAAAATTTAAAGTGCGAATTATCAAAAAGCAATTTAAATAATTTCATTACAATAAAAGAATTGTACTGAAATTAAGAGACTATAATTAGAAAAAGAAAAAAATAATTTAAAATTAAAAATTTTTAATTACCTCATGGCTCTGCTAAGTTTTTCGTAAGTCATTTTTGTGTTTCCTTTACGTGATCCCCAAAGTTTTGCGACTTCGTCACTTCTTACAAATCGAAATTTCGCCTGGGAATAATCCTCCCAGCAAATAAGACTTGGACACGTTTTTCTGTTTCTTAAAAGATCTCTAATAAATTCCCAAAGTTTTCCTTGACTTCCGGCTGTTTAAAAACAAAAATTAATAATACTTTTTATTATTAGGATCGAAAAGATAAATAATTTTCAGAGACAAAAAAAGAGATTCCTTTAAATAATTGAAAATAAAAGGTAAGTAAAATTTATTTTTTGTTTCGAAATGTCGAAATTGTACTAAAAATTTGAAAAATTGGAATTGTTTAACCCTTTGAGTCACGTGTTTTTAGAGAAACGATTATTCTTTGAAATATACACTATTTAACGCATTTAGTGTTGATTTTACGAATTTAAAGTCAGATTTTAAAAATTCAAAATGGCGGATCCAATATGTCGGACGTAAAAATTTGAAATAGATGGGATTACCATAAAACTTGTAACTCAGGGGTTTTCGGGGTCATTTATTACGAATATGAAGTCAGATTTTAAAAATTCAAAATGGCGGATCCAATATGGCGGACACTTTTTAAAAAAATTCATTGGATTTGCTTGAAACTTGTGACCTAAAGGGTTAAATGTTGTATTTTTAATATTAACCAAATGAATTTATAATGTCAAGTGTTATTAAAAGTTATTTTATACTTTAAAAAAAAATACTAAAATTAATTATAAAAATATTAGAATTATTAGAAATGTTTATAAAAAAGGAAAAATAAATAAATATGAAATTTTTTTAAATTTAAAACTACGAAATAAAGTAGAAAAAAAAGTAAATGGAACGTAAACAGTTTTATATAATTCATAATTTAAAATAAAATAAAGTAAAAATAAGTGAAATGAAACTATAAAAAAAAAAAAATTTCCATTTGTCTACAAAATATAAATAAAGAAAAATATTGTAAAATTTGTTGAAAAAAACATTGTTAGTAAAAATTTTGTTTTTTTTTCATTTTTCTTACATGGTTTTTTGGTTTTTAATAGTCTGGGCCTTCCAGGTGAACGTTTTGTGGAGATTTCTATACTATTTTCCGATTCTGCATCTAAAAATAACGAAATTCTGTTAAAATGAATTTGACATTTTTTAAACAATTTTTAATTATTATTATTATTTACGAAAAAAAAAGAAATCTTCTGCACATATTTTTATCTCTTTATTTTCTATCAGTAGAAATTGAAATTAATATATTTTTTTCTTCATATAATTTCAAAGTGAAGAAAAAATAAAATAAAAAATATTTTTCATTCTTGGAAATACGTCAAACATAACCAAGATTAAAAAAAAAACGTTGGTAAATTAAAATGTAATTTAAAGAAAATAATTATAATAAAATACAAAAAAATATTTTAAATGTAATATTTAAAATAATATTTAAAATGTGATAAAAAGAATATTTAAAATTTAATAATAAAAGAACATTTAAAATTGAATAAAAAAAAAGAATATTTAAAATATTTGAAAATATTTGAAATTTAATAAAAACAATATTTTGAATTTAATAAGAGAATTATTTAAATTTAGAAAACAGAATATTAAAGAATTTTAAGAGATAAAGAAAAATTTTTTTTAAATTAATTTTTTAAAAGAATTATGTAAACATATTAAAATTAAAAAAAATTGAAAACAATAAGTATTTATGAAATGAGTAATAAATAAAATGGTCTATGGAAAATTGAAATGCAACTGTTATAATTGTTTAAACAATCGCCTTGTGTGGAAATAATAATGGACAGACCAATTAACGAACCTTCTACAGACAATTAGTGCAGATAAATGCAAATGTTAAAAAGTATTGAAATAAACTTGTTTTTTTATGCGAAAAGAAACTTTTTTTTTACTCACAACGTAAAATATTATTATAACATTTTATAATTAATTTATTGACATTTCTCTATTTATATTATTATTACAACAAAGCTAATTATAATTTTTTTTAAATATTAAATTTTAATTATTAGGTATTATTTTTATTGTATTATTATTATTATTATTATTATTATTATTATTATTATTATTATTTTATTATTATTATTATTATTATTATTATTATTATTATTATTATTATTATTATTATTATTATTATTCTACATAATTAGAAAATAAATTATTATTCCACATTAAAAAATAAATTATTATTAATTAGTAAACTGAAAAAAATTTGATTGAAATAAATATTTGATTCAAGTAAATATTTATTTGATAATAGGCAAGTATTCGGTTATTTGAATCAAATTAATTCTTTTTTTTTTTATTGTAGTAAGAAAATTATTATTTATTATTTCTAGTTTATTATTAAAATAATAATAATTACAGTTTATATTAATACCTAATAACTATAAATTCTTCAGAAATGATTTAGAATTAAATAGTTATCAGCGCAATTATTTAATAATTCGCTTCTTCTGACATGTTTTTTTTATTTTTTTTTTCTAATCCAATATGAAATACTGTTTAATGTAAAAACATTATTTCTACTTTGAAATTCAATATTTCCCTTTTGTATTCAATGGAAAACTGTTTATTAAATTTCTATTTATTAAAGTTATTTTCAAGTAAATATTGATAATTGTTTTTTGTCTAGTGGTAAAATGAAATAAAAAATCTCTACCGGATGCATTAGTTGAACTCATCGTTGCGCTTTCGTCTTCAGATTGTCTTGGAAAGGCGTCAAAGTCTGAAAATTGAGAAATCCGTGTGATGATTAAAATTTTGAATAAATAAAATAATTATTTAAACGCAGATGCAAGTGAATAGATGAAAAACAATTTTTTTTATAAGAGTGTTCTTCCTGCTAACTTAAAAGTATCAAATTGGAACGAATTGAGACCAAAAATGTGGATAAAAAAAAATTGATCCAAATTTTTGTCATCAATTTGATCCACTTTAGTATCAATTTGATATTTTTTAAAAAAACGCCAAAACGGTGTTTAAGAAATTATACTTATTTTTGCGAATGTTAATTTTTTTTAATTGTATATTTAATTATATTATAATTATATATGCGTGGCACACTTTGAAGAAAGGTACCTAAGAAGCAAATAATTTTAAGGTTATGTTTATTTCATTTCTATCATAATTAAATTAAAAGTTAATTTTTTGTGTATTGTCATTTAAAAAACTGTAAACATAACCTCAAATTTTTTGCATCTTAGGTGTATACCTTTCTTCGATAAGACATTATTTGTATTTTATTATTATTATTATATAATATATTTCTTATTATAAAGTATAATAGAATATAGTGATTATATTATTATATTTTTATTAAAATAATTATTTATTTTAATAATAATTTTTTAATGTCTACTTACTTAGATTTGAATTTCTTTGCGAATGAAGAAGATCATAAAGACGCTCGCCGTAAATTGAGTCGTGAGCGATGAAATCATTTCTTGTGAGGGTGATGAGATCTTTGCCCGGAATTGCCAAACTGTGTTGTATCGAACTATAGGATTGGCCCATATGGGAAGCCGCCGATATTAGCCAATTTATCGTCTCCTCTTGACACCAGTCCTTGATCGGTTTTTCCGACCATCCCGCACCATCAGATTCCTCCTTTTCTTCACCTTTCAAAATTACCATTATTTTAAAAAATTTCATTTATTTCATTTTCAATTATTTTCCATTTTTTTCATTTTCATTTATTATCCATTTTTTGATTTTGAATTATTTAAAAATTTTTTGATTTTGAATTATTTTGGCTTTTTGATTTTGAATTTTTTTGAATTTTTAAAGAATCTTAAGATTAAACTTAAGATTAAACAGGTTTAATCAACCCTGTGCCTGTACTCAATTTTGACCGTTATTGAGAAAAAACGACAGACAGGGGGGTAAAAAATTTTAAATTATTAAAAAAAAAATTTCAAATATTTTTCCAAGTGAATTAAAAAAAAAAAAATTAATGAAAATTTAATAATTAATTATTAGAAATAGAAAAGAAATGTGTAAAATTTTATTTTACTTTACCTAATGTACACTTTTTCCTAGAAGTTTCTTGTAGTCTTGCAACAAGTGAATTTGTTTTTTGAGTGGAAATTGAATCCATATCTAATAATAAATGATCGCCTTCCTCATCATTTAATGCACCATAATAATTCTAGAAAAAAAATAATTTTTTTTCTTACTTCATGAATAAAATATAATATGCAAGATTTATAAAAAAAAATCACGTCAGGATTTTTTCTAACCACAAAAAACATGGCGAATTTTTGATGAGATATAAGCATTTTTTTTACATTGATGGATTTGTACGAAATTTGGTACTGTCAGATTTTCAAAATTCAACATGGCGGATCCAATATGGCGGATATATTTTTAAAAAATTGATAATTTATTATAAAACTTTATAACCTAGGGTGCCTAGGGTTTTTGGGGTCCCTGATTACGAATTTGAAGTTAAATTTTAAAAATTCAAAATGAAGGACATTTTTTAAAATTGATAGATCTTTATGAAATTTGGATAATGGATTATTTACAATAATAACAATATAATAAAATTATTAATGTTAATAAAATTTAAAATAAAAGTATTAATAGTATTAAACTATTTAATAATTAACAATAATGTTAATATTAATAATTATGGAAAAGATGTGAAAGGTTTTTTTTTTAAGATAAACCTACATTTATTTTATATAATTATAATTTATCCTTATAATTAATAATTATAAGCAAGTATGAAAGGGATTGTCCCATTTATAAATAAATAAATAAAAAAAAATGTTATAAAAATAGTAGTAAATAATTTAATAATGATAATCATTCAAAATCATCAAAACTGGCAAAACGAAAGTGATAATTGTTTGTTATATTTTAAATTATATTTTGTCTTTTTTTATATATTTATAAAATAAAAGAAATTCACACCAGAAAAAAAAAGAAAATTACAAGTTTGTGAACAAAACAAAGCTCAAGGTTTTGGCATACATTTACAGTGACAAATATTTTGAAACCTTATCTGAAATTGTATTCCAACTTACACTCAAGGATAATATTGTACCTATATACCTATACATACATTTGTAAATAAAGTAGCAAATTTTTTCAATATTTTAACACAAAAAAGGTATAATTGCCACAATTTAAGGAAAATAAATTTTCTCTCTTTTATATAATTGTTATTAAAAATATCATTACCTTCTATTATAATTTTCTATAAGGTCCTGTAACTATTAATAAATAAATAAATTAAATTTTTTTTTAAAATCTCATTTTATATTATTATTTTAATTTTTTTAAAGTTATTTATTTAAAAATAAACATGTATGGACAAGAGCCTTAAAATATAAAATAAACCCTTAAAATACACAAAATTTATTTATTAAATAAAATTTTTCATCTTTCAAAAAAAAGAAAACTTTGTAATACAAGAAAAGAAACAATAATAATAATTGAACTATTTGAAAAAATGCAAAAAGTAAATTAAAAAAATCATTATTTCTATTGATTAGAAGACAATAAAAAAAATTTATGACAGAATTATTAATTTATTATAAAAATTTATAAAATGAGTATTTCCATTACATTTTATTATACAGTAAGACAAAATTACTTAATATATGATATCATGATTAATTAATCTATGTACTTGTTAATCTTTTACTATAATTTATTAAAACTACAATATTTTTAATAATAAAAAATTACATAAAATAAGAAAAATAATAATTTTGAAGATTTGTAAATGAATATTAAAATGATAAATAATAATATTATTATTCATTAAAAGAAAATTAAATAAAATAAAAAAGTAGTTCAAGATCAGAATAATTTGTAATAATAATAATAAATATTTAAATTTATCGCTCGGTCGTCTTAGTTAAAATATTATATAAAACACTGAGTTGAAAGATTCCTCATTATTAATAATAACAAAATTATTATTTTTTAATTTATGTTTATTAATTTATTTTATAATTTTTTTTTAATTTATATTTATTAATTTATTTTATAATTTTTATTATTATTAATAATAATAAAATTATTATTTTGTCACATTTTTTACATACAAAATAAAATTTTTTCCACATTTCTTCAAATTTAGCTTGACCCCTCCCCCCACCCCTAGAAATGTGACGCAGTTTGTGAACGACTTTTAATAATAATAGTAAATTATAAAATATATTTCTTTATTTTTATTTGATAATATTTCATCTTTTAATTAATAAAATTATAATAGTAATAAATATTATTGTAATTATTTTAAAGGGTCGTTCACAAACTACATCACACTTCTAGGAGTGGAGTGGGGGGGGGGGGCGTAAAACAATTTTTATTATTTTATAGTTTTTTATTAATTTAAAAATAACAATTCTAAAATTAATTAAGTATAAAAATGATAAAATAACTATTCTTTGTTTTTTTTATTCTTTTTGTTATAAAAATAAAATTATAGTATACTATATAGAAAAAAGATTTTTTAAAAAATGATAGATTTTTATAAAAAGTATTTTAGTTTTATTTTTATTATTAGTAATACTTTTATATTACATTTATTTATATTATAATATTTAATTATATTTATTAGTAATAAAGAAACAATGTGGACGATAGCCGCGGGCATTAAAGGGGTTTTGTTGTAAAGAACTTGGGACTTTTGAGATGTTCGATTCCTCCCGGGGGTAAATAAATTTTCTAATTTTTTTAAAGCTATTTAAAAACTAGTTAATAAACAAATCTAGAAAATAATAATTAATTTTGAAAACTTATAATAATAAAATAATAAAACTTATGATTAATAATAATATTTGAATATAAACTTACATCGGAAATTTCACTTTTTTGATAATCCATGTACGGATCCATATTTGAATATATGTATATATATTGTATATAATGTAGAAAAATAAATCACTCTTTAATATTTGTAAACAAAAGTTTCAAATTTCTTCACAGACGATGATTAAATATATAACACACACTGTTAATGTTTATCAAATATAAATGTAATTATAATGAAACCAAAGTTTCAAAATAAGTATAATAACGAAAAAAAAAACCTTTATATTTGGTCCATTTCAAAATAAAGGCGAAATTTTACGTCATCTTTACGCCGAAACGAAAAAAATTATCTCCACATATTTTTATATTTATATTAAATAAATAATTTTCTCCAGTTGGTAAGATGAAGAACACTGAAAAATTATATTATATTATATAATTATATAAAATTACAATTATTATATTTATTCACTAATTTGTCAATTTTTTAGAAAAATTATTTTTTAAAAACATTGTTTAAATTATTCTATTCTCAAAATTTCCTTTTTGAATTCTTTCAAGTATATTTGAAAATTATTTGAGTATTTTGCAAATTTATTCTCTATTGAATATTTTAAATTATTTTCTGATTGTTTTTGTTAATAATTTTTGTAAAAATTACTTTTTAAAATTTCTTTTATTTTTGTAAATTAATTTTTAAATTTTCTTTTATTTTCGTAAATTATTTTCTATTTTTGTGCATTACTTTCTTTTTTTTGTTAATTTAGTTTTTCAATTTTCTTTTATTTGTAGAAATTTATTTTTCTTCTTTGTGTAAATTATTTTTAAAATTTTCTTTTATTTTTGTGAAGTATTTTTTAAATTTATTTAAATTTGTTTAATTTATTTAAATTTATTTAATGAACAATATAAATAATATTCTTTTTGTTTTAAAGTATATATTTTTATAATTATTTCCTTTTAGTTTTGTAAGTATTTTTTAATTTATGTTTAAAATTATTTCCTTTTTGTTGTTAAAGTATCTGTTGAATTACATACTTTTTTTTTTAGTTTTTTAAAGTATTTTTAATTATTTGTAAGGTTTTCTATTTTATTTTTATTTTACTTTTTTTATTTCTTTAAAATTTTTTTAAAAATTATTTTCATTTACATTTTTTGTTTGTTATTTTTTGTATTTTTTGTTGTAAAATTATTTTCTTAAACTATTTTTCTAATTTTTTAATAAAACATTGAATTTAACGATCATTCCGAGTCAGTAAATTTTATTTTTCTAATTATTTCTTTTTTTCAATTTGGTTTTAATTTTTGTTTGAATGATTAATTTTTAATTATTAATTTTTAATTATTAATTTTTAACTATTAATTTTTAATTATTAATTTTTAATTATTAATTTTTAAACATTAATTTTTAATTATTAATTTTTAATTACAAATTTTGTTGTTGTTGCGCAAAATTCACTAATAATAATTGTTGAACAGAAAAAAAACGTGAAACACGCGTATAAACCTTTTGCGCGATGAGAAATCGACTCCGACAAGTTTGTAAAATAAAGTTTGCTCGCAAACTGGATGTTTTAATCGCAAAAACTGTCTGAATAAGTTCAACGTCATCCGCGAGGAGACTTTCCTCATAGATTTTTGTTTGTATTGGTTTTAAAATAATTTCATGTGTATTTGTGACGTGTGTACATATACGTGTGTATATATATTTACCCACTTGGGGATTTCCCTCTTCTCGAACTTCATATCCAATCAGTCAGATCAAATCCCCACCAAAATACGTCTCTACTGACGCACGATAACAAGTTTTAATTTTATTTTTAGTAACACATTCAAAGCCACTTGGCTATCACTGTGTGTGCGCTGACCGAGTAAATGCGATTCTCCTTTTTCTTTTTTTTTCATTTTCTGTATTCACAGGTGTGTGCTGAGCATAAAAAAAGCCTCACATTCAAATTAAGCAGTTAAAAAAAAAATGAAGTTCCATTTATTTTTAACAATAAAAGAAGAATTTTTTAAAAATTAATTTTTTTCTAATTTATTTCTTTTCTTTTCTTTCTATTATTATTCAATTCTTTTTCTCTGTAAATTAAATATAATTAATTTATTATAAGTAATTTTTAATAAAATTAATTTTATTCCAATTCTTTCATTTTTTTTCTTTTATTTATTTTTTCTTGTCTCATTTAATTTATTTTTTATTTTTTTTAATAATTGATTTAATTTTTGTTTTTTTATTCAATTTTGTTTCTTAATTTACGAATTGAGTTGACTCGATGAGTTTTTTAAATTTATTTTTATTTATAATTTATTTTAATTTAATGTAAATTTAATTTTCATTGCTTCGATTTAACTTGACCGAATTTTTATTGAGCCAAATTTTATAAAAACAAAATTCTTTAATTGAATTTAATTTAATTAAATTTTAATTGACTCGATTTAACTTGACCAAATTTTTATTGAGCCGAATTTAAAAAACATTTTTTAATTGATTTTAATTTAATTTTAATTGTCTAGATTTAACTCGGCCGAATTTTAAAAAACATAAAATTCTTTGTTTCTAATTTAATTTTAAATTAAATTTTAATTTACTCGATTTATCGTGACCGAATTTTTATTGAGCCGAATTTTATAAAAAACAAAATTCTTTAATTGATTTCAATTAATTTTAAATTAAATTTTAATTTACTCGATTTATCTTGATTGAATTTTATAAAATACAAACCATTGAGCCGAATTTTTAAAAAACATAATTTTTATTTGATTTAAAGAAAAATGTAAAAATTATTAAACAAAAAAATTGAAAAGTAGAGAAAAATTTTTTTTTTCCTTTTTTTAAAATTTAGAAAATTAAAAAGTAGAGAAAAAAATAATTCTCTTTTTTTTATTTATATAAAATTAAAAAGTGGTGAAAAAATTATTTCCTTCCTGTATATTTTTTGTTCTCAATTTTAAAAGTGCCGAGAGATAATTTATTTCAATAAACTTTTAGTGTAGCAACAAATTCTGAAAATGATTTGTTTCTGAGTAATTTAATCATTTTTAATCCGGTTGTTCGCATTTGAAAGTGATAAGATATTAAATGCGTTGTTTCTTTTTACTAAAAAAAAAAAGTTGAATATTAATTTTAAAAAAATAATTTGCAATACATTCAGTTTTTTTTAATCGATTTGTAAATTTTATTTCTTCTGTTCGACGACTTTTCGTAAGAAATCATTTTTTTTTTAGTGCAAAAATTTTTAATTTCTTATAAAGAAAATTTTCATTTTTTAACATTGCGGAATAATTTTAAAATTGATTTTTTTTCTACGAATTTGATTCAAATTGTCACAGGAAATACTTATCCAATTCTTATTAAGCCGAATTTTTATAAAACAGAATTGTTTAGATTAAAAATTTTCTTGTTAAAGAAACAATTTTTTTTTCAACTAATTTTAATTTAACCGAATTTTAAATTTTCAGAATATTAATTTAGCCGAATTTTTTATTTGTCGAATATTAAATTAGCCGAATTTTTATTTATTTAAATATTATATATTTAAACACATATTTAGACGAAGTTGTAAAAAGAAACAATTTTTATCTGATTTAAAGATTTTTTTCGCTAAAAAAACATTTTTATTTAGCTGAATATTAATGTAGCCGAATTTTTTTTATTCAAATGTTTCAACTTAAATGTTTTTTGAGCCGAATTTTTTTTTGTAAAACAGTATTTTTATTGGATATTCATGTTAAAAAGTAATTTTTATTTCGCTGAATTTAAATTTAGACGAATATTAACTTAGCCGAATTTAAATTTAGTCAAATAAATTTTTTTAATTTCAACAAAATTTTTATTAAGCTGAATTTTTCTATGTAAAAGAGAATTTTTAATGGATATTCACTGTAAAAACATTAAATAATTTAAAAATCTATTTCGCTGAATTTTAATTTGACATAATATTAATGTTGCCGAATTTTTATTTGGCATAATATTAATTTTGACGAATTCTTAATATCAGAATATTATTTTAATAACAAAATTATTTTTGATTGAAAACTTGTTTTTCTTAAAAAAACAATTTTTATTTCGTTCAATTTTAATTGAGCCGAATTTTAAATTTGCCGAAAATATTAATTTATTTTTTATTGTGTTTAAATAATATTAAAATAAAAATTTAGTGGAATATTATTTAAACAAAATATTTAGCCGAAGTTTTTAAAAAAAACAATTTTTATTTGATCTGAAGATTTTTTCTTTGAAGTTTTGTCAAAATTTACGGTTAAAAATTTATAAATTGACTAATTTTTTTTTTAAATTCATTTTCCCTTAATGGGATCATGCAGATCCCAAAACAAATATTGAATACATTAGCACGCACGTAATTTACTTTTTCGTATTATACGAAATTTATATTTTACAATTATTCTTCATTATTATTGTTTTGCAAAAAAAAAAAAAAAAAAAAAAAAATTGTTTCGTTTTCTAAACTAAAAATAAAAGAGTGAAAGATGAACTCAGAGATAAAGGCTAAAACAATCTTAATTATTATCTTTTTATATCATTAATATCTTATCAAACTTAGAACGTCATAAATAAGTAGAATTCTCATTAAAGTCGCCGGAAAATAATTGCGTCTTGCAATTATTGCCCTTCATGTCACTCAAATATGCATTAAAATATATAACAATTAATTTTTTCATATTTTTATCAAAATGAAATATTTTAATTAAAATTAAATAAAAACTGAAAACAATTATTATTACCATTAATTAATTAATATTTTTATTATTATTAACATTAGGATCTACTTTTGTGAAATTTTATTAAAATTTTTTTGAAAATAATTGAATTTCTGCGAAGAATTTTATTGTTTATGAAAAATATAAGAATTCTTGCGAAGAATTTTAATTAAATTTTTGAAATAGAAAAAAAAATAAAAAAAAAATTTTCAATAACATTGTAAAAATGTAAAAATTTAAATCGGTTTATCCCCTTTTTTTATGGATGTAAATGTAAAATACTTTTGATTAGGATTATAAAAAAAAATTTCACATGTTATCACATTTATAACATAAATTACGCAATGAAGATTCAAGTTCACGTATATTTCCCTCTGCTTTCATAATTTTGCAAAATCATATAATAATATAAAAAATATATATAGGATATATTTTCCATTCATCAAATTATCCTAGAATTAAAAAATCATTTTTTTTCTGTATACAACATCTTTCCTGGTATACTCACACAGTTCATTATTCCAAAGCATATGAAAAAAAAAATTATATCTTATTTCTAAATCTACAAAGTGCAGTGTTATTTACAATGTTACAGGTGATAAAGATTACATTGAGGAAAATTTTTATGACTTGTTATTTTTAATTGAAGGACGTAAATATATGAAATCTTTTCACTATGTCTATTATAAATAAATACTGTATAATATAGTGTAATTTTATGTAATTAAAACAAACAAATTTTTTTTTTCATTTTTTAAAAAATTTTTTTTTTTTTTTGGAAAACTTTTTGAAAATTATTTCGAAATTTTGAATCGTGTATATAAAATTCATCATAAATAATAGCATTTTTCGGAAGAATTCAATTATTATTTTTGTAAGTAGTAAAATATTTTGTAAAAATTCAATTATTTTTAACAAAATTTTAATAAAATTTCAGGAACAAATTAAATTTTATTTTCTTATTTTCTAAAAATCCTTTGAAACAATTCAATTATTTTTTGAAATAGTATATAATCTTTGCAAAAATTCAATTATTTTCAATAAAATTTCACGAAAAAATTCAATTTTTTTTCAAATTCTGTATAAAATTTTTCAAAAGAATTCAATTATTTTCTAAAATTTTAAAAAAATCCTTTGAAACAAATTGAATTATTTTCAAAAATAATAATATTCTTCGCTGGAATTTAATTATTTTCAAAAATTTTAATAAAATTCTTCGCTAAAATTCAATTATTTTCAAAAATAATAAAATTCTTCGCTAGAATTCAATTATTTTCAAAAATAATAATATTCTTCGCTGGAATTCAATTATTTTCAAAAATAATAAAATTCTTCGCTGGAATTCAATTATTATTTTCATAAATAATTATATTCTTCGCTAGAATTCATCTATTTTCGTAATCAATAAAATTCTTCGAAGAAATTCAAATATTCTCAAAATTTTTCAATAAAATTCTTTAGAATACAAGTTCAATTATTATTCATATAAATTATTATTGTTTATTATAATTTTACTAATTTCGAGTTTGTTCGAACCGCTGTAAAACTGAAATAAGTAAATAAATTAATTCTTTTAGTTATTTAATTATTTTTTATTACCATTTATTTTATTATTATAATTCTCCTAATTCAACATTAATAAAAAAATTGTATCCGATCCAGAGGAAAGTTTTAATATGTTTATTCTGGAAGTAATTTTTTTTTCTTTTTCGAAAACTAAAAAACGATCTTTAGTAAATATTCAATTAATTAATATCGAATAAATAATTTTTGTTATTAAATATTTTTATTCATTTCATGGAAAAAAAAGTTTTTTTTTCATTTCAACGATGATGATGATGATAATAATAATAATAATAAAAGCGAAAACCGATTCTCAATCGTTTGCTCTGAGAGTGATCGCGCATTCGCGAAATGATGATTCACTGAATTTATAATTACGTAACGTGTTCATCATTATTCTTCTCTCACTCTTTTTCTATATATACATAATGTCTGTCTTTCTCATCATTTTTCCAAGAATTGAATTTTTATACACAAAATTATCACAGAGCCATCACATATTATCCCACGACCAGTTTTTTTTCTTTTTTTTTTTTTTTTTAATTTTTCAGAATTGTAGTTTCTCGAACGCGCGTTAGAATATATAATTATCAATACATATGTACATGATAGCAATTATATACGATTATTCACACATTTTGACTCTTAATCAATTTTTTTTCTTCATATTCTTCTTTCATTATATGCGCAATCTTTTTGTTAAAAAAAAATTATTAAAAAAATATTTTATCGAACTTATTTCTATTTTTCTTTTCCTTTTTTTTGACAAAATTTAACAAGTTTTTTTACAAAAACAATGAACAATTTTTCTTCTTTACAAAAAATTATTAACAATTTATTTTTTTGTCAAAAACTAATAATTTTCGTTTTTTTTAAATTTCATTTTTTCAATTTTCTTTGATTTTTTTCTTCTTTTATGTAAAATATTGAAAAAAGAGTAACAATTTTTGACTCTGACAAAAACCATATATAATTATTATTAATTTTTTTAAGAAAGAATTTCGTTTTTTTTCAATTTTTACAAGTTTTCTTGGTTTTTTTTCTTCTTTTACTTAAAAAAAAGCAAATAACGAATTTCTTTTTTCCTTTACTAAAAGAAGAAAAAAGTTAATATCAATTTTCGTTTTCAAAAAAAAAAAAAAAAAAAAAAAAAACTGTTAACATTTTTATTTAAATCGTTAACAATTTGTTTTCTCTTTTGACAAAAATTACTAAAAATTCTTTTTCTTTTCTTTTTGATAAAAATTGTTAACAATTTTTATTTGTTTAAATAATTGCGAGTCACCTTTATAAAAAAAAATAAATAATTCTTTTTGTTGAGAATTCAACAAAGATAGTTTTTTTTTAAACAACTTAGTTTTGGTTTATAAAAAAATAAAAAAATTATATTAAAAAAAAAATAACTTAACTTTTTTTTTATAGATTTTGTCGAAGTTTTTACTTATTTTTTTTGATTGTCCGATGAGGCCATTTGCGATGCGATATTTGCAAATTTCATCATGTAGTCTACGCCATTCTCTCCCATCAAGCATTGCATTTCAGTCACGATCTGAAATTGATAAAATCGACGTTTTCAGAAATCTCACGGCTAATTTAAATCTCATTTTCATGTATTTTCTAGTTCGAAATTTTTTTTTTTTTAATAAATATAATTCATGACGTACGTAAATAAATAAAGAAATAAATAAAATTCATTCTTTTCTCAATGTTTACATTTTTTTTCATTAATTTCCTTTTTTATTTAAGAAGAAAAAAAATGTCTATGGAATTTTTTTTTCAAAAAAGATATAGAAATATATTGTTTTTTTAAAAAAAAACAAATTTTTGCTCATATTTTGAAGAAAAAATTTAATGATCAGAAGTACATTTTATCTAAAATTTATCAAAAATCGGCAAATTTTGAAGGCTTTGAATATTAAATTAAAATTTCCAATTTGCAAACTTACGTCAGAAGGCGGTCGAATGTCTTCAACCGTAGGACCTTCAGTTTGACTTCTCTGCGATCCTTTCATTGGCGACTCGAGTTGACCCAAAAAACTGCTCAACGAAAAATCTGCAACCTGAAAATTTACCCAACGAAAAAATTAACAATTTTATTAAAAAATTCCATTCATTAAACAATAATTAATTATTTTACTTCTTTAGTTTTGAATTCTAAAAAAATTGAAATTATTTTTTCTTCCAAACTTGAAATTAAAAAAATACTGAAATATTGAAATAAAATAAATACAAAACAATTGAAGTTAAGAAAAAGTAGAAAAAAATTGAAATGAACAAAAATGCAAAAAAAACTGAATTTAAAAAAAGAGGGAAAAAATTGAAATTAAAAAAATACAAAAATGGAAATTAAAAAGAACAAAAAAATACAAAAAAAATTGAAATTAAAAAATACAAAAATGGAAATAAAAAAATGGAAATTAAGAAAAGAACAAGAAAATTGAAATTAAAAAAAATACAAAAAATGGAAATTAAAATAGAACAAAAAATTGAAATTAAAAAAAAATACAAAAAATGGAAATTAAAAAAAGTAGAAAAAAATTGAAATGAAAAAAATATATAAAAAATGTTAAATTTATTAATTTACAAATAAAAATAGAAAATATAGCAAAAAAATTTGTAAAAACGCTTTTTTTTATAAAAAAAATTTAAAATTAAAAGTAGAATGTTTAGAATTTTTTTAATTGAATAACAAAAACGAAATTTCCACCTCGCAATTAAGCCACTGATGTTCGCCTTCTTTCAAAATTTTCGTCGCACTGGTGATAATTGATGTTGAAGCTTTCGTTGGATTTTCCTGCAAAACATCAAGAAAATGCTTGACTTGAGAAGAATTCGCCTCTAAATTCGTGTCGCCGCCACTTTCGTCCACCGAATTATTCAACGCTATTTCACTCGAGCCAATTGTCTCGCCACTAACAAGGGAATTTGGCATTTCATTCAGAACTTCTGGACTCGCCACCGGAACAACTCGCTGGACAATTAAATTTCTCTGCCTTATCGTTCTTCCCTTCTTGTGAAATCTCATTTTAAATTTCTGCAATTAAATAAAAATTCATTTATTATTATTTGTGCAAATTACAAATAAAGTTTTTTACTTTCAAAAATCAAAATTTTTGCAAAAATTTTAGATTCAAAATTTTAAAAAAATTTACTTATTAATTGAATTATTATTATAGTTTATTATTTTCGAGAATTTTAATAAAATTCTTAGTAAGAATTCAATTATTTTCGTAAATAATAAAATTCTTTGTAAGAATTCAATTATTTTCGAGAATAATAAAATTCTTCGCAAGAATTCAATTATTTTTACGAATACTAAAATTCTTCACAATTCACTATTTAAATAATTAAACATTTTTTATTATTAATTAATTTTTAATTTTAAAATTTTTAGTTTTAATTTTTAATTTTTTAAATTTTTAGTTTTAATTTTTAATTTTTACATTTTTAGTTTTAATTTTTGATTATTAATTAATTTATTACTTTACTATTTTGGAAATTATTAAAAAAATGTTTAAAATCAAATTTCTTAAATTTGAGTAAAATTTGTAATGGAAAAATTTTTCTCATTGTAAATTGGAGGAAATTTGGTTGGTTGTTGATAAACTCACGTCAAGTTGTGTTTTGAATGCATCAGGTGTGCCAAGTTCGTGATAAGTTTGGGGAATAAACGGCTGTCTGAATGTTGACTCTTTGGTTGAGGGAACTCGAGACGAAATAACAGTTTCACTACTTCCCCACGTGTGTTCATAGCCCTTGAAATTGAAAAAGAGAAATAAATAGATATTAAATTTAGAATTTTCAAGAAGAAAAAAAAATTTTTAATTAAAAAAAGAAAATAATTACTTTGCTCGGTCCATAACTCTGCTTTGCGATTGAGAGTAATTTTTGCAGCATTAGACTCACATTATCGTCGCGAGGTGTAACGATTGCTTTCGTTTTGCCAGTGAAAAAGGACATTGGATCCACTGAAGGCGATTCCCACCAGTATTCCAATGTTACTTTTGATTCTCTTCCAAACTGTCGGCGGAAAATTAGTAAATTAATTAAAAAGAAAATTTTCTTCTACTTTTGCTTACTCTGTCTTTTATTATTTTACTTCTTTTCAATGTATTTACTATTCTTAAACTTTTTTTTTGAACTTTTAACTTTTATTCCACATTTTTATACCGTTTTCTTTACTTTTTCAAATTTTTGTTTAATTTTACTTACTTTTGTTTACTTCTTCTTATTTATTTATTTAAGTCACAGCCCTTTTTATTTCTATTGTGAAAAATGTTTTAAAAAAACGTCTAAAAATTAAAAAATAGTAAAAATACGTTTTAAAAAATAAAGAAAACCTAAAAAAAATTTTAAATAGTAAAAACACATTTCAAAAATTAAAAAAAACTTAAAAATGTAAGAAAAACGTCAGAAAAAGTAAAAAAAAGTCTAAAATAGTAAAAAGACGTTTTAAAAAATAAAAAAACGTTGAATAAATAAAAAACATTCTACAAAAATAAGGAGATTTAAAATTTTTTTAAAAAGTCTAGAAAAGTAAAAAGACTTTTTAAAAAATGAAAATTTAAGAAAAAAAGTCTAAAATATCAAAAAGACATTTTAAAAATTAAAAAAAAAACTTACGAATGTTAAAAAAAATCATCTAAAAAAGTAAAAAAAGTCTACAATTGTAAAAAAATCGTCTAAAACCTCTTAAACGTAAAAAAAGTCTAAAATAGTAAAAAAAAACGTCTAAAAAGTAAAAAGACGTTTTAAAAATTAAAAATACTTAAAAATATTAAAAAAACGTCTGAAAAAGCAAAAAAAAAAGTCTAAAATAGTAAAAAGACGCTTAATAAATGAAAAAAAATTTAAAAGTTGAAAAAAACGTTAAAAAAAGTAAAAAAAAATTAAACAAGATAAAAAGACGTATAAAAAGTTAAAAAACTAACCAAAAAGTAAAATAAGATTTAAAATAATAAAAAAAATTGTTTGAAGTAAAAAAAGAGTAAAGAAAATTATTGAAAAAAAAGAAAAAAGCGAAGTAAAAATAAAAAATTCAGATAAATTTTTAATAAAAAATAAAATTTTGAAAGAAAGTACAAAAAATTGAATACAAACCATTAAGAAAAGATCACCAACAGTAATCGTGTTCGCCTCCTCAATATTCCATCCCAATCGAATTCGATCAATTGTTTCCCTGCCAGGAAATCTATTTGGTTCAATTGAATGTTCAGCGGATGCTTTCACATCGCTTGTCAATGATTGTTTTTCACTGGGAAAATTTAAACTCCCTAATTCGGGAACATCGAGATCACTATTATTATCAGCACCCGTATAATGATCCTCGCACAATTTCGTCAATTTTTTATCGCCTTTGCTTTTTTTCACTCCCTTTCGTCCCATTCCCTTAATATATTGCATCGAGCCCAATAATTCGACTTTGGAACTTTTCAAGCCAATTCGCTTCTCATAAGAATCGAAACTCACGCTATTACTTGTCAGGTACTCGCCGAGATTTATCACCGGAATGGAAATTTTACAACCCTCAGATGGTGAGACTCGGAGGAGAATTGATTCTTTTGATTCGTCGATTGGATTCTCGTCGATTATGGACTATTTTCATTTTTTTTTTTCGGTAGAGTTAAGGAAATATTTTTGTTTTTTGCTTTCATTCGAGAAAATTAAAAATTGACAAACAAACAAATTAAGACTAAAAAATAATAAAAAAAAAAAATTTACAATTTTTCAGACATAAAAAAGAAAAAGAGAAAATTATTTTCACTTCAACTCAAGTTTTGACTATAAAAAGTTTAAGGATACAGTTCTGTATTTCGGGGGTCGCCAACGTTGCTGCAAATACGTTAAAATACTGGAAAGTCGTCTCTGAATGGGAACTAATGTCCGAACTCGAGGATTCATCGCCGAGGCTTGAACCTTCCACCAAGCAATATTATTTCCAGGCCGCAATTCTATTGTAACTCGTGGAGGGAGTTTTATATCTTCCTGCCAATCTGAAAAGCACGTGAGAAAAAAATCACTCATTAATTTATTAAAATTAATTAAATAATAAATAAATAAATAAATAAATAAATATAATAAATAATAATTCTTATTAATTTAGTATTTTTATTATATCTTTTTTTGAAAAATCACTTTTTTGATTTTTTGTATAAGATTCGACGATTAAAATATGCATCAAAAATTTACCCTCGAGTTGATTTAGTTTCCTCAAAGCTCGGCAAATCGGCGTCTTTATTCTCATTGTTTTCCCTCTCAATCGAACTTGCGTCGATCCCCAATAAACCAATTCGTTTAATTTCATATGAACCTTATCGTGCATTCGCGGCAATTTTCTCCTTAATTCGCCATAATTAATTAGCCCGTAAAGTTCTTGAGTTGTTTTCTTCACATCTAAAAATTAAAATCAAAATTTTATTTTCATTTTCAATACACATATGTACACATATATTTTATATAAATAAATCTATTTCAAATAAACACAAAATTGTATAAAACCATAATTATTGGAAAATTTTCCATTTTTTAACGAAAATGAACAAAATTATTAAAATTAATAAAGTTCATTATTTTATATTATAAGAATATTGTTACCGTAACTTTTTCAAAATTATTTTCATCATTTCAATTCAATTATTATTTTCTAAAATTTTTAAACTAAATCTTTATTATTCTTCTTTACATCAATTATATTTTTAATAATTTTTGAAATAGTTCTTTGAGAATTTTCAAATTCGTTTTTCGAATTTTTGATAATTTTAGATTTTTTACCAAAGAGTGGAGAATATTAAGTAAATAAAGTGTTTTTCAAGAGCACAAAAATAATGAAGCTAAATGCCATGAAAGAGAAGAAAACATGTTGAATTTTAGGAAACACGGTTTTTTGAATTTTTTCGAATTTTTGATAATTTTAGATTTTTTTCCAAAAAAGTGGAGAATATTGAATAAGTAAAGTGTTTTACAAGAGCACAAAAATAATGAAGTCAAATGCCATAAAAGAGAAGAAAAAATAATGAATTTTAAGAAATTCGGTTTTTTGAATTTTTTCGAATTTTTGATAATTTTATATTTTTTACCAAAGAGTGGAGAATATTGAATAAGTAAAGTATTTTTGAAGAGCACAAAAATAATGAAGCCAAATGCCACAAAAGAGAAGAAAAAATGTTGAATTTTAAGAAATTCGGTTTTTTGAATTTTTTCGAATTTTTGATAATTTTATATTTTTTACCAAAGAGTGGAGAATATTGAATAAGTAAAGTGTTTTACAAGAGCACAAAAATAATGAAGTCAAATGCCATAAAAGAGAAGAAAAAATAATGAATTTTAAGAAATTCGGTTTTTTGAATTTTTTCGAATTTTTGATAATTTTAGATTTTTTACCAAAGAGTGGAGAATATTGAATAAGTAAAGTATTTTTGAAGAGCACAAAAATAATGAAGCCAAATGCCACAAAAGAGAAGAAAAAATGTTGAATTTTAAGAATTTCGGATTTTTGAATTTTTTCGAATTTTTGATAATTTTAGATTTTTTACCAAATGTTGGAGACTATTAAATAAGTAAAGTGTTTTTCAAGAGCACAAAAATAATGAAGCTAAATGCCGCAAAAGAATTGAATTTGGTACAAGAATTTTGTTATTTTCAAAGATATTTGAAATTTTGAGGAGAATTTTTGAATATAATTGAAATTTAGCAAAGAATTTTATTAAAAGTTTTGAAAATTATTGAATTTGGAAAAAGAATTTTATTTATTTTAAAAATAATTGAAATTTTGTGAAGAATTTTATTAAAATTTTTGAAAATAATTGAAATTTTGCCAAGAATTTTATTAAAATTTTTGGAAAATAATTGAAATTTTGCAAAGAATTTTATTAAAAATTTTGAAAATAATTGAATTTGGGAGAAGAATTTTATCATTTATAAAGATAATTGAAATTTTGATAAGTAGTTTTAAACATTTTTTAACATAATTGAATTTTTGCAATTATTTCTAATTTTTCCGAAATTAAATTTTTAAAAACTATTTTTAACTAAAATTCTTTCATCAATCCATTATTTTTAATAATTAATTAAATATACATTAAAAACTTAACAACAAAATTCAGAAAAATTTGAATTATTAAAATTTTTCAATAATCATAGTTATTTAAAATTTCTAAAAAAAATTCATTTAAAATTGAAATTTTATAAAATTTTAAATTAAAATCTTCTAAAATTGATCTATTTATAAAAATTGTAAACGCAACTCTTTTAAAATTGAATTAATTTTGAAATATGTAAGTAAAATTATTCGTCATAATTTCATAATAATTTCTAAGTAATAATTTTATGAAGAGAATAATTTTACCCTCCGAGAATTTTAAACGTTTCGATATTTTCAGCCACGTTCGACAATAAAAATGTCGAATTTGCTCCTTATTTTTAATCATATTTTCAGCGAGTCCCCTTTTCTTTCCTTGAGTTAAAAAATAACTTTGCAGTGCATCAAAATCCTTTCCATATTCATTGAGGGCTTTGAAAAATGTATTTTTATCCTCCAATGACCATAATTCACAAGATCGTTTCAACGATCGCATTATTTTTGCCTCACTGTCGTCTTCCTTTATTTCTAAAACATAAAAAACCATTTTTTTTCTCTCATAATGCAATTTCGAAGAATTTTCATTTTTAATTAATTTTTAATTCAAAATTCAAAATTCTAATTTTCTTGTTTTTGTATATTAAAATTCAAAAAACACTTTTTTTTCTCTCACTTTATATTCATTTATTATTATTACTTCATTTTCATAATATTTGAAAAAATTTTAAAATTTATTTATCTGTTTAATATTTTCAATTTTAATTTTATTATTTATTTAAAATTATTTTTAGAATGTTCAATAACAATATTATTTTGCAAAATAATTTATTATTTTTGTTATACAATATGAAAAAGTAATTTTTATAAAAAAAAAAATGCTCAAAAATTAAAATAATACCTTTTTTATCGCCAATTGTTGCGTCCGCCGAATCGATTCTCATTCTTTTTGTGCCTCGTACAATTTTTACATTCGAAACCTTTGCATCGGGGGGAATTTTAATTATTTCTGTACTCGTCGAACATGACGGAATTGGAAATGAATTATTATCGTCTTTTGTTTGAATTTCACTGCTTTGATTATTAGAATCGTCATTCTTTGATGTTGTTTCCACTTTTAATTCTTCGATACTTGAGTCCTCAATTTTTGAACTTTCATCCGATAAAACTTTATTGTCCCCCTTCATTTTTTCTTCATCTGATTTATCATCCATTGCACACGATTTCCTCTGCAAAAATTTTACAAAATATAATTTTTTATTTTCTTTTTTTTTAATTATTTATATATATTCGAATATATTATAGATATTTTATTAAAATAAATGATTTTTGAAATGATTTTTTATTTAAATAAACAGGTCTTTTTAAAAAATAAATCATTTTTATTGAATTATTTTTTTTTTATTGTTGTTAATAAATTTAAATGATTTATAAATAATTTTTTTTTTAAATAAATTATATTTACATTTATAAATTTATTGAAATTTGTTTTCTAGTTTAATTTTCAGAATAATTTATAAAGAAATATTTTTAAAATGTTTGTAAAATTATTGTTTATAAAAAAATATAATAAAAAAAAAATTAATAAAATTTGAATAAAAATAATAATAATAATAATAACATTGTTAACAATTTTTTCAGTTATTTATTTTTTTTGCCACTGAAATTAAATTTGTTTTTATAATTTAAAGATAAGTTTCTATTTGCAAAAGAAGACTGGTTCATTTATCAGTATACGTCCATTTGTTCAACAAGTTTATAACCCAGTTAAAGTTTAACAGTTCGTTTCCATAAATATTTAACGTAAATGTTACGGAAGTATAAATAAACAAACAAAATTGTTAGTAAAAAATTTAATTTTTGTGGAGCATTTTTATGCGAAAAAACAAAAAATTAAAATGATAAAAAATCTATTTCCTTTTTTTTGACTCTTTAGGCGAATGAAATCAAAGAATTTAAATATGGATGTTACTACTAAAAATGAAGCAGGTAAGTTTTTTTTTAATATAATATTTATTTAAATTACATTTTAAATTACATTTAAATTACAATTAAATAAAAATTAAATAAAATTTATAAATAAATTAAAATAAGTAATTTATAGAAAATAAACATTAAATTAAACCCGCTTTCAAATTAATTAACAAATTTAAAGCAATTTAAAATTAAAATAATTAAAATAATAATTAATTTTTAGAGACAAATCGAATCGATGAATCTATAGCTGAAATCGCAATCAGCGAAACTGGTGAATACTTTTAATATTTAATTGCAAAATATAAAATGAGAAAAATAACAGATTCTTGAAATAATTAGGTTTTGGAAAATTCAGCGTCAAAGTAACTGTAATAAGTTACCTAATTTATTTGAATTTGACAATTGGAATTATATCAACGGGATTTGTACTGCCTGCAGCTGCTTGTCATTTGCAAATGAATATTGTGGACAAGGGTTTAATAACTACTGCATTTTTTGTAGGTAATTAATTTTATTTAACCCTCGTCCAGGCGATTTCGATCGAAATCACTTTTTTGACTTCAAATCTTCATAAATTTGAGAAAAAATAAAATATTTTTGATTTCGAAACACTTAACACCCACAAATTTATTTTACTTTGTGAAAAAAATATTTATATAATTAACAATTTTTTTAATTCTAACAATAATAAAAAAGAATGTTTATGACCCTGATTGCTGATTACGAATATGAAATCAGTTTTAATATTTAATTGGCATCAAAGGACTTTTGGAGTCGCTGATTACGAATCTAAACTTAGTTTTTTAAAATTCAAAATGGCGGATCCAATATGGCGGACGAATTTATGACAAATTGCTCTAATTGCCCTGAAATATGTAACTCGGGGGTTTTCGATGTCGCTGATTACGAATCTAAATAAATCTTTTCAAAATTCAAAAAGTCAATTATGAAAAAATATTTTTTTTTTTTGAAAAAATAAAATTATGAAAAAATATTTTTTTTTTTGAAAAAGAAAATTTTTTTTGTCATTAGGGTCTTGTTTCAGTGCAGTGATCAGTGGATTTTTAGCCAATATCAAAGGTCGAAAATGGATTTTGTTAGTGGCATTATTCCTTCAAGGAAATGCCGATTTTCTCCTATCAATTTTATCCAATTACTGGATTATATTTGGATTGAAATTTCTTTCTGGAGCTGGGTAAGTACACGGAGAGAGAATATATATTAAATTTTGTAAAAATATTTTCAAATTGGGGAAAAAGTGCGACAAAGCGAAATTTTGATATAAAAAAATACTAAACTTTAAAAAAACTTATGTGAAATTTAGTATAATTATATCAAATATCAAGAATATTAATTAAATTCTAATATAACTTTACTAAATTTCACATAAGTTTTTTTAAAGTTTAGTATTTTTTGATATCAAAATTTCGCTTTGTCGCACTTTTTCCCCAATTTGAAAATATTTTTACAAAATTTAATATATATTCTCTCTCCGTGTAAAGAAAAGAAAAATTTCCTTTGATTTGAGTTTGAATATAATTGTTTCCATTTTCTAATATTTTTTAAACGATTTTTTAATTTTTTGATATAGATCGGCTGGTCAGAACATTGTCTTTACTTATTTAAGTGAATGCCTACCTATGAAGAATAGAAGTTTTATTTTATCAAATATGGAATTTTTTTGTATTTTTGGACATGCTTTTGCAGCTGGTAAAAAAAGGAAACTTTTTTTAGATCAAATTTTCGGTTTTTTTTTAAACGTTTTTTTATGTTTAAATTTATTGATTTATTTTTTTATGTTTAAATTTATTGAAAATTCTTAAAATTTTCTTTAACTACTTTAATGTTTTATTTACAGCCGTAGGATTAGGTATAATTCCTTTATACTTGGATCTCGAAATGAAGTATTTTTCATTTCATTCCTGGAATCTGTATATTATAATTTGCTCACTGCCGGCTTTCATTTTGGGTTTTTGTTTAATGTTTTTGCCCGAAACACCAAAATTTCTTGCAGAAAGTGGCTCGAGGGGCGAATTACTAAAAGTTCTAATTAAAATGTATGAGCAAAATAGTGGAAAATCAGGAAAAGAGTACATGGTGAGGTTTTTTTTTTTTTTTATAGATTTTCCTTTTACATTTTTTATAATTTTTCACAAATTTTTGTTTTTTGATCGTTTTCTTTCTTTATAAATTTTTTTTTAATTACAGTTTTTTGAAAAGTTTTCTCTAATTTTCTTTTCAAACTCTATTTTTAGTTTTAATTTTTAAGTACAATGAAAAAATTTGTAAAAAGTTTACCTCTTCCGGGGATCGAACCCTGGACTTCTATTTGCAAGTCGGAACCTCTGACCACTCTGCTACCCTTTTCATTTCTTTTTAACTTTAATTACTAACGACTAAATTCATTTCAAAATATAGGTTTAAAAATATTTATTCAACTAAATATTAAAATTAAATTTATTAAAATTAAAATTTTTTTTAGTTTTTTCTTTATTTTTAGTTTTAATTTTTAAGTACATGGGGGAAATTTATAAAAAAACTTTACTTCCTCCGGGGATCGAACCTTGGATTTTCATTTGCAAGTCAAAAAAAAAAAAAAAAATTATAAAAATTTAAAAAAAAATCTTTAAATGTTATTAAATATTAAAATTAAAAACTACGTTTCAAATTTAAAATTAAAATATCTATTAAATTTTATAAAAATAAGTAGTTTGAATAAAATTTACATGAATTTTTTCCTATTTTAGAAAATATTATTAAGAAGTAACAACACAGCACTTACAGAATTGGTGAATAAAAATAAAGAGGAAACTGAGGAAATTGAAAATCTCAGTAAAAATGTAACAGTAAAATCGCAAATTGGTAACGAACTGGAGCAAATAAGGAGTATTTTTAAACCTCCTTTTTTAAAAAATACTTTACTGGCATGTATTACTGCATTCACTGTTACATCCTCTTTTTATGCCCTCTATCTATGGTTACCAGAAATTTTCCAAAGATTCGCAAATTTTCAAGCTGAACACTCGGGAGAGAATTCTAATTTTTGCTCTATTTCAAAGGACACATTTTCTACTATAAAAAGTAAAAATATCGTAAGTACATTGTTTGAAAATTTTAATTAGTTATTTGTATACCAATTTTAGCAATATGTTTATATTTATTTTTTCAATATAAAACGGACAAAATAAACTTTACAGGTACAAAGAGTGTTTATAAAAATAAAAATTTTGGATAAACTTTGAATTATTTCAGCACGATTGTGATACACCAATAGACAAAAATGTATTTATAAATAACTTGATTTTGTGCTCATCTTGTATTCCAATAATAATTATAGTTACATTGTTAGTTAAACGCTATGGCTTGAAAACTTTACTAGGTATATATAATCTCTTTCTATTTTTACAATATACTTTTTAAAACTATATTTAAAAATTTTTCATAATTCTTGAAAATAAAATTTTTTATCACCCACGTGAAAATTTACGGAGAATATTTTATTAGTATTTAAAAAAAATTTACTTATTTTTTTGCTGAGTTATAAATTTTATCCTATATTATAATCAATTATTAATCTAAAATTAATGTATTTTAATATTAAATTAATACGTAATTTAAAATTAAAATTTATTAAATTAAATTAAATTAAATTAATATAATGACTTTGAATAAATAATTATAATTGATGTTAAATTTACAGTTTCATGGTGTCTACTATGTATTCTTGTAACAATCGGTATCTATTTCTCAAATTCATTTCATCAAAATTTAATTTTACTATGTTTGTACTTATCCTTTACATCAACAAGTGTGACTCTGCAATTTGCATTCTTCGTGACAATTTTTCCAACTAATTTCAGGTATTCATGACTTTTGTAACTTGAATGTAAAAAATTTGATCTGCTATTTGATGATAATGCCGTTCAATAATTACATTTTTTAAATTATATAACATTAATGATTAAAAGCGTTTGCTTTTGGTTTTTATGTAAATTTTATAAAAAACAAAAATTTACTGACAAAAAAAATTGTTAAAAAAGTTAATAATTATGTTTATTTATAGATCATCGGGTGTAATTGTTACAAGCTTGTTAGTCCGCACAGGAGCAGTATTTGGAAATTTTACCTTTAGTTTTCTTAAGGATTACTGCTTCTATTTTATATTATCAATATGTTTATTACTTTTAGGTAAGTTTCATATTATTTCTTCTACAGGCTACTTTAAATAATAATTAGATTTATTTATTTATTAAATTCAGATATATTTTTGAAATAAAATAAAATGAATCAGTTTTTATGATTTACAGTTGCAGCGATATCGACAACTTTAATTCGCGAGAAAAAGGATAAATAGAAAAATAATTAGCTTGTCTTTGTTAATATTAATAGCAAACTACATTGAAAAAAAATTTATTTGATTCAAATAACCGACTACTTGACTATTATTATCAATTTGTAATTTTTATTTGTTCTTCACTTATTAAATTATAGTTCACGTTTTCAAAATCCAATTCTAATTTATAATTTTTATTTATAGTTCATTAACTAAATTCTACTTCACGTTTTCAAAATCCAATTGTAATTTATCATTTTTATTTGTAGTTCATTAATTAAATTCTATTTCACGTTTTTAAAATTCAATTGTAATTTATAATTTTTATTTGTACTTAGTTCGCTTATAAAATTATATTTCACGTTTTCACTTCAAATCCAATACTAAATTATAATTTTCCGAATTTTAATCTCTGTTCTATTTTAAGAATACCAATAAAAAATTATTGGACATTTTAGAATTATACATAGAAATTACAGCATCTAATTAACATAACCTGTTCGAAAAATGTACGAAAATATTCAGCAAGTTTCATTAATGATATTTAGAAAAATTTCAAAGACACTTTATAAAAAAAAACTTGCTTTGTTCAGTTTTGCTAAAATAAAATTAATACTGTATTGTACAAGGTAATTTGAACTAAAAAGAATGTTTGTAAAACGATCAAATTATGTAACAATTGTTAATAATTGACAGACAAAAAAGAAGAGAAATTAATGTTAATAAAAAAATAACTCACAAAATAATGTTCTGATAGTTGGATAATGTCACTGAAAGACACATAACCTTTGTTTCAAAATGTAAACAATAACAAGACATCCATTATCACTCCACTGTACTTCGCGTGTGAGCATGGAGTACCCATAAAGGAGAGTCCACAATTTAAGGCAGCTAAACGTCAACGACCAGGGTTGGGAAATGATGACTTCCGATTTACAGAAATACGGTTTAACGCTATCTGGTGGCAAATTTTCAAATTAATGTAACGAATTCATTTCGATTGTCTTTTTTTACTACAACAATTAAAATTCTCCTGATTTTATTAAGAAAAACTTTTACAATTTATTGCAATTTATTAAGAAATAAAACCAATTGTAATAGAATCTGAATAACTTCTTGAATTCGAAATATGATTCAAAAATTCTTTAAATATTAAAATAAAAAAGAAAAACTGGAAAACGTCTCGACCGCAGTCAGAAAAAATAATAGTCATTGCGTTTGTATAAACTGTAAAGTGCTTGACAGAATTTTGACGCCGCAGTGATTTCCAACTAAAAATTGCAAATAATTCGTTCAAAATCTAATATAATCAATATAATATTTAAAATTATTGCAGAAAAATGAATTTATAGTAAATATCTTTCATTGCAATTAATTATATTTCATCCATATAAGTAATAAAATGAATTAAATCGCATAACGTCAAAATTTTAGGTTATGTGAGTCAAATGAGTTCTTCATGGTTTCCAATTTTAATAAAAAAATCTTATTGGATTGAAAACAATTTTTAATAATCAATTTTGATAGAATTTTCTTTAAAATATTGGATACAATGAGAAAGAACTTTCTGCCATTAAAATTTTTAATAGGATTTGATAGGATTTTTATCAAAAAATCTTATTGGATTGGAAACAATTTTTAATAATCAATTTTGACGGAATTTGATAGAATTTTCATTAAAATATTGGATACAATGGGAAAGAACTTTTAGTCATTTTTCGATATAGGATTTTAATCAAAAAATCTTATTGGATTGGAAACAATTTTTAATAATCAATTTTGATAGAATTTTCTTTAAAATATTGGATACAATGGGAAAGAACTTTTAGTCATTTTTCGATATAGGATTTAATAGGATTTTAATCAAAAAATCTTATTGGATTAAAAACAATTTTTAATAATCAATTTTGATAGAATTTTCTTTAAAATATTGGATATAATGGGAAAGAACTTTCAGTTATTTTTCAATATAGGATTTTAATCAAAAAATCTTATTGGATTGGAAACAATTTTTAATAATAGAATCTTATTTTAGTGTTAAAAATTTCGGATTCAGAAACACGATTGAAATGGAAAGAATTTTTGGTTTTTGTAAAGTATTTAATAGACAAAACAATTTTACAAAGTTTTTTATTTATAACTAGTTTACAATCAGGAAATAAACATAAAATTTATATTTCGTAGTAAGTAGAGTTTTTTCTAGAATTTTTTCTTTCATAGAAATTGTATTATTTTCGACAATATATATAAAAGTATATTGTATACAAAAAAGCGAAATTTTCCAACTGGTATGGAATCAAAGGGAAAAAATGTTTTTATAAATAAAAACTTCAAATAAAATTAAAAAATTTAAAAAAAAATCCTTCTTTAACAATAAGAGATACAAAAATTCGCCATCTTAAATAACGCTATTCATATCTTAAATAACGAAAAAGGTTATAATTTTCAAATATTTTTACCATTTAACGTAAAAGATTACAATTTTCAAATAGTCTAGTACCAGTTTACGTTAAAATAACGAGTAAGATTACAAATTTCAAATATAGTATTTTATCCCTCAACGTACTATTTGATTCACTTTTTAGCAGCCGCAGCTTTTTTTACGAAATTATTAAACTTGAAAGCAGAATTACCAGCTGAATCTTTCAACATTATCGCAACTCTATTCAAAGGCATAAGATTTTTCTCGAGTATTAAAACATTCTCGGTTTTATTACCATGATCATCAAAGAAGAGACTATGCACATTTTTCACAACATTGTAAACTTGTTTTCCTGATCCGCCTGCAATTTCCAATAATGACCTCAAACTTATTACATTCTCCATACACTTTAATTTATCCGTTTTTCTATACTCAACATCGAAGAAAAACGAAAATAAATTTCTAAAATTAACATACGCGCACATACCCGTTCCTTTCAAGACACTCGCCAAACATTTTAAATTAACTCCATTTTCCTCAAAAGCCTTAAGGTACTTTGTTTTAGCACCTGATGATGTATCAAACCAAAGGTCGTAAACTTCATGAGCTCGCTTTAAATTCGCATCATTGCCACAGATAATTCTGAAGAAATCTGCCAATTCTAGTTCTTTCTCCAAAATTTTTATGAAATTCTGCTTATTACCTTGTTCATCAAAAATGAAATTGTAGAGATAATCGAAAGCTTGCGGTGTATATGCTCCTCGTTTTGCCAAGATTTTCGCTATTAACACCAGGGGAATGCCGTTTTTTTCAAAATGTTGTACACGCATTGTCTTCTCACCCCTGGCAGTGAAGAAAAGATCGTAAACCATTTGGCAAGTTTCAGCGGCTGTTGGACCAGCGGTCGTTAAAATTGACATCAGCATTTGTAAATTAATTTCCTGCAACTCCATATGACGTAAATATTTCGTTTTTCGATAATTCTCGTCAAAGCAAAGATTGCGGAATTCCTGAAAAGATTCAGCGGCCCGCACACCTGAATTTTCGAAGAGGGAACAAATGTTTACTAAATTCACTCCACTTCTGAGTAGGACGTTCAAACAACTGGATTTCTTTCCTATATCGTTAATCCAAAGTTGATAGAGATTTTTAAACGCTTGCGGTGCTTGAGTACCGGAATTACCGAGAATGGAAAAAAAGATTCGTGGATTAACGTTTTCTCTCTTCAACGTTTGCACGTAGTTACTGGATCTTCCAGCAGGACTGAAAAGTAATGGTGTCATATTTTGCAGGGTTGCTATAACTTCGTTTGTATTTTTGCAACCCCGAAGCATCTTTCCGACATGTTGGGGTAAAATTTTACTCCTGAAGCACGAATCAACAAAACGCCTGCCCTCCTTCATCAGTAAATATTGCATCAGTTCGTTGAAATCCGAACTGTAGTCGGGAAAAACAACTTTTGCTAATCGGGCCTGTTTTTTATGATGATAAGCTCTTTGGAGATTTTTTTCATTTTGGAGAAGAGCGTCCAATTGATTGACTTGAAAGGGTGTGTACAGACTTATGGAATTTAGGTCCTCGAATTCTTTTTCGGTGATTTTGGACTTTATTAATCGGGCTTGGAGAAAATTGTACAATTCTCCTGGACTGTTGATGATGGGAAGTATTTGTTCTATGATAGGTTTCCAGTTGGTGATTTTTTTCGAGATCCAAGTTTCATTTCGCCACTCGGGGAAATGTTTCATCAGTGAACTGATATTTCTCCTTAGACGATCTGTAGTTTCTTGACTTAATTCGTTTCCTTCCTCGTCGTAGATTTCGTCGTCGCCACCCTCGAATGCTTCATTAACAGTTTTGTCGGTATTTGGCACTTTGGTTTCGTTTTCAGTGCCTCTGGAGTTTCTGACGTATTCTGATGTTTCGATTCTTGGAATACTTGACGAAGGATTCTTTTGCTGATAATTGGGTCTTTTTTCAGGAGGATCAAAAGCTTTTGGAGTAAATTGAGTGGGGTTCGTTTTTGCGAATTGATTAGAGGACCCGAACCTGGAAGCAACTGGATTGTTTGATGTAGTGTCTTGAAAATTGGGTCTTGTTCCAAAAGTCTGAAGGTTTTCAAAATAATCTTTGGTTGTATTCGAAAGCTGAAGTCTAGAGTTGGAAGAACTGCTTAACGTACTCGCTTCTTGATATGTTGGTCTTTTCCCAAAAGTTTGAAGCTCTTCAGTATTACTGTAACTCTTCGGGAACTGATTCTGGAATCTAGAACCGACCAGATTTGTCGAAGTATTCGTCTCTTGATAATTTGGTCGCTTTTTAGGTTGAAAATCTTCAGAAGGGTTAAAACTTTTCGAGAACTGATCAGAAGCCTGGAATCTAGAACCGACCGGATTTGATGAAGTCTCTTGATAATTGGGTTTCTTTCCAGATTGAAAATCTTCAGAAGGGTTAAAACTTTTCGAGAACTGATTAGAAGTCTGGAATCTAGAACCAACCGGATTTGATGAAGCATTCGTCTCTTGATAATTGGCTCCCTTTCCAGGTTGAAAATCTTCAGAAGGGTTATAACTTTTCGAGAACTGGTTAGAGCTCTGAAATCTAGGATTGCTCGACGTACTCGCTTCTGGATAATTGGGTCCAGAAGTAGTAAAAGTTTTCGAGAACTGATTAGACTTGGGAAATTGGGAGTCGTCAGAAGTAAGGGAGTGACAAAGAGTGGTAAACTTTTCGACAGCGAGAATTCCGGCACCACTCAAAAGTCTACAGATGACAACCAGATCTTTCCCTCTTGCCTCCATGCTTTTCAAATTCTCGGTCTTCTCTCCATACCGTTGAAACCAGTGGTCATAAAGATTTTTGAAAACCTTCGCCACCTGATCGCCCGTATCGACCAAAATCCCCATAATTGAGGGTAAAATCACGCCCTCGTTTTCCAAAGTCAGTAGATAGATGGTCTTCCTCCCCTGGACGTCGAACCAAAGTTCGTACATACTCTCGAAAGTTTTGTCCACCTCCCCGGCTCCTTTAATTACACTGCAAACTTGTTTCAACCCCACACCCGATTCCTCCAACTTCTGTAAGTATTTCGTCTTCATTCCATTCTTTAGAAACAGTAAATTGTAGAAGTTTTCAAAAACCTCCGCAGTTCGTACAACACTCGAAATTAGGGTCAAATTAACACCAGATCTTTCCAAATTCAACAGACAGTTGGTTTTCGTTCCGTTCTCAAGGAACCAGAGACGGTACAGTGCCTTGAACCGTTCGACACTGTTATCCCTTGCACCGGTCAGGAGATTCGAAATCTGTGACAAATTAACACCCTCCATTTGCAAGGATCGAAGGTAATGGGTCGGATTACCGAAATTGTCGAACCAAAGACTGTACAACTGGACAAGAATTGTCGAGCACTTGGATCCGGTCCCAGGGAGCACACTCGCCATATTCTTCACATAAAAACCTTGTCCCTCGAAAATC